CAATACCCGCCATTTTCAACAGGACTGATCCGAGCAACTCGATCCAAGAATGTTGTTGGGTCTGGGTCCAGCAAGGCCTAGTCCCCTTCCGCGACGATGTGACTTTCTACGAAACTTTCTCAAGATGAATATAATATAAATTAATACGTTTTGAATTTGAACCTCTATCTTTCAATTGAGAATCAAGCGATAAAATGGTAGCTTTTCCTTCTCCTCGGCTGTAGGATATTTGGAGCACCCTTGTGAAGGTCTTCCCACAAAATCAGTCACAGGGGCATTCTTCAAGATCTCCTTGCCTATCTGGGCGTTATCAGGAGCAAATATAATGAATTCGTCACTCTTTGTTTTGTATGTAGGTCAAATTATGACTTATTTCATGTTTCCAGAATGCGACCAGATCTCTTTAAGGGGAACAAAGAACTCTCATCGACTATTTGTGTTCGTGATGTATCTACTGCCGAAAAAATTTTTCCTTGTCACTCTCAACAACTTGTGAGCGATTGTAATCCCTGACTGTACCTCATCGTAAATCGTTCTACTAATTCTTCGCAAATTTTTCACGCCCAGTAGCATGGACCCCTGTAATGGCTTATTAATAATATGCTGCTTCATAAACGTCTTTTATTCTGTAGCTTCTCTCCCACCTACCCTTCAAAGTCTATCCTATACTTATCGCTCATTAGATGGGGACACCTGCATGTATTAATTTCGCAATGTGATGCACTGATTTGCGTCATGTGTTTTAATCAGAAATTTCTATTTGGGTACAGTTGACCGACCAAACCGATTACCATATCTTATGATGTAGTAATTAAATCAGTTATTTGGGTTTCGATACTATAACTTCAACCAAATGAGAATTTTGAGCAATTTTTGGAACTTCTTCAGAATCATCCGACTTTTTATACTCCAAATAGTTGCACTGAGTACACGCCGGCTTTTTTTAAAGCCTTCTTTACTTACTACTCCTACTTTAGCCTCCGAGAAAATGCTTTTATTATTAGCGCTGCCGGACCCGCATTTCTCCGCCCGCGGGAAGATTTGTGACGAGCCGGGTAGAGGTTTGCCGGGTTTGTTAGTACCATACCCTTTACAAACCTCTTGCCAGATCGGGTCGCCCAAGGCCTCATACTTTCCTACGTGCGCAGAAAAAGTTCTTGCTAAAGACTTATAATGACGGCCTGCACGCAGGCTACTTCTACTTAAACAACATGCGTCAATGCAATTAACTTTCTTAAAACAAATGGTAATATTCATTACACGCTTTGCAGGTTTCATGTTGCGGGTGAAGTAAGAAATTACATAGTGGTTTTCGTCTTTACTGTAGAAGAAAGGAAAAAGCCTGAGGATATTTTGTCAGATTGAGATAACAAAATGATTCATACAGTAACCTGTTCTAGGCATTTAGTTTGCGGATCAAGGCTTTGGGCGTCAGGTGACAATATGTCTCAGTAAGGCCACCCGAGGCTGCTAAAACATTTGCTTGGAGAAGGACTTAAAGAATGTAAAGAACTATTGAATGTCTTTTCCACTGTGGCGACTATGTTGTAATCCTTTTACAATAACTCAGTTAATGATAAAGGGTTTTTCTCGTCCTTCAATCCTTGATCTTTACACATTATATATTTTACAAATATACATACATACATACATATATAGCTCTTTGGCATACAAAGCTTTGCTTTCATGTCCAAATTGAGCACTCTACTAGGATGAGTCATTGCTGCTAGCATTATGCATGCTCACTACTTTTTCTAGTTTGAGCACTCTGATCTGGCATGGCTTAGATGATCCCACATGTGTGAGATCACTTGGGGTGGCTATATAGCCTTACCTCCATCTTAGCACCAGCACTGTGCTGATGAGGCCCAGAAAGTATGTAATTCTTATGTAATTCTTATAGTTGTACAATTGTAACCACATTGTAATTCAGATTAACTGCGATGATGGTGGAATTAAACTTTTTTTATTATTATTACTATTATTTATTATTATCATTTTTCGCAGCACCTTATGTTTCCTGAACCCACAGTTATGGTAAATAAAAATTTCAACTACATCTGTTCTTTCGAGCGAGATCCTTTTGGAATCAAGCTTATTCAGTCCACAGTCAATGATTTGAACCTGGGATATAAATTCTACCAAAAAGTGTCATCGTCTCTGGGATGGTGCTCTTGAGAAAGTCTTTTTTCTCGCAGGCATTGACTAACTTTTGAAAAACCTGTGCAAAGTCACTATGAGAGTCAGACGAAGATGATGATCTGTGCTCAGGTTTTGAAAAGATCAGCTTGTGACGCCCGGAGCTTTAAGTTCTCGAGTTTTTATGTGAAATCAAGGAATAAATCAGGATAAGGAGGAGAGGGAGGAGAGGGAGGAAGGTTCCTGGTTTAACATAAATTATACGATGAATGGCACTCAGTAAAAGAAGGAAAGGGATAATTCTAAAAATAACTGAAGTAAAATCGATATATTCCGGCCAACATCCTGATTCTCCCTCTCTGTCCCACTGTTTTTTCTTGGTGACACTACGTTCTAAGAGGATGGATATCTCAATTGCCCCCCAATTGTAACACGTACTACGTGTGTGTACGTCATAAATCCCTTGTTGTTGCTCTTGATGAATGTTATAAATGGTGGCTTTTGTTTCTTATTGACGCTTCAAGCTACTGCCACCTTCAACAGTTTTGTTCAGGTCTTAGCCTACCCGGATAATTAGGTTACACTACCAGCAAAAGGAAAGTGCAGAAGGAATATGCTTATCATATCCAAATTGTTGTATTATGGGGAGACAGCCTCAGCCCCCTGAAACAGAGCGGAACAGGACGAAAATATCCACGCAAAAAAATGCAATATCAGCGGTGTTGGGTCACGCGAATAACTTTCAAGCTTAAGATAATTTTTTTCAAAGGACGCACAAACATTTTATGTTTAATTATGGTCAAAGCTCTCAGAACCTCCTCAAAACCCTTTTATCGAGAGCATGCTCAAAATCATACCCTAAAATTCGCCAGAAAGACTTGGTTTTCACCAAGTTAACCTTCCCTCGCTTTCAGGGCATATAAAGCCAAAAAACGTACATTTTCTTTTCACGTCTAGTGAATATATCAAGTATACCAAAAGTACCATTCGTCAGACAAGCACCATCTTGAATGGCGCAATCTTTTCTGTGACCTCCAAAGTTTTGTTTCACACTCGCGTGAGATACGTATAAGTCTTCTCCACAGCCGTTGTTTACCGATCTCGTCAAGATTTTTTTACTGATAGTTTGTTTCAATATATTCGATTTTTTTCATAATGGTAAAGCGTTGTGTCGTCCAGTTTTGTACTGATTCAAACAAAACTGGGCATACAATGCAAAGATTTCCAAATGAAGCAAATTTGAAACAACAATAGGTTAAATTTGTTCAAGTGAAAGGAGCCCATTTCGTCGAGCCGTTCCAACATTTTGTTGATTGTAGCAGTCATTTTTCTCCCGACCGCGATGAGAAAAGCTACATGGTTGAAATGGGCCTTAGAATGAAAAAACAACTTCTTCCTAGTGCTGTACCGATGATTCAGGAAGCAAATAATTCTGAAGTAACAAGGGACCCATACAGTCGGCAGACGGCGAGGATTCGGAAGTGGCCGACCGCACTGACAAAAAACCGAGGAGAATTTAAGCTCTTCAAAAGTTAGAGGTCATCAGAGTAAGTACTAAATTGATTTATATGGAGACCTTACGAATATTAAATAACTAAAGCTTTATCGATTCTCTAAAAGCACCTTTTTTCTCATCTATTGAAAGATTGTGGGAGGCCAGTTCGAGAGCCAGCGCTGAGCCCATAGAAGACACTGACCTGTCTGAACCTTGGCATGAATTCGAAACACGTGTCAAAGAAATAGGATTCGCTGATGTGGGTTTGTAATGTGATGTGCAAGTTTGTTGGTTCGATATAAATAATTTTATACATGATGCTATAATTGACCCTTATTTCTATATGGGAATCCATGCCAACCTCACTTGCTGCTTCCTTTAAGAAACCCTGCAAAGAAACAACAGTTGAAGAATTTGTGTCACGGTTTTCACAGCAGTGGAATTACATTCAAAGATCAGAAGGACAATTTTTTTTTACTTTGAATATAGCTCAAAAGATCCCGATCCCAAAATCCGTTGGGAAAGCGTTTTGGATTTTTTTATCGCACAAGATTTTTTTTTGTGATTTCTTCCTTTTTTTTTGGCATTTTACAAAACATTACTCTACTTACAATACACTACAGGACTCAGTTACAATACGTCACTTACAATAATTTACTAAGAACACACTTCTAACAAAGTATAGTTTACAATAAACTTGATTACAGTAGATGACTTACTCTCGATTACTTACACTACCTACACAATACTCTACATTTACATTATTTTACGACATATTACACCACTTTTAATATGTTACGGTAAATTACTTACAATATCTTACTAATAGTATATAGCGAAATTGTATGCTTTACAATAAAATTTGACTTCTTCTGCTACTCTGCATTGTTTGGACGACACCCATCCCACAAACCGATATGTGGCAAAAGCTTATCCCATTTCTGAAAATGTTTAGCTAATTTATTCCGCTTTGCTGCTATCTTCATTTCTACCTGTTATATCTCCCCGATCTTGGCCTTATAAACTCGTATGAAGGGATTCTTAGAATTCAATTTACGCTTTTATATATAAAATTTAGCTGTCAGTATTAGATGATTTAGAATAATCAAGTCCTCTTCCGCATTGAAAACTCCAAAAAAAATATCCATTATTGTAAATGTTTGAAGTTAACTTGACATTCACCAAGCCAAGAACAGAAAGCTTCCCAGAAGGCCTTTGTAACATTGCAGTAGAAAAATATATGTTCGAAGGATTCAACTTCTTGTTTACAAAAAGTACATAAAGGCGAATCCGACAATCCCCACCTAAACAATCTTTCGTTTGTTAATACTATATTATTTAATACTTTATATTGGAATTCTCTAATTTAAGTTTCAATTGTGACGGTAAAAGGCAAGGAGTATATATTCTTCCAGTCAAACGGAAACTGTGGAAATTTTTCATCGAACTTTTTTCGCGCAGTTGGAGGGATATGCTTTTTGCTTTTAAACGCGTTATTAAGTGATTTGGAAGTGATTTTTGCTACCATTACATCAGAATTTTCTAATTTCAAGTAAATTATGTCATCTGTATGAGAAGGGAGATGTTGAGCGCTTGGTCTAATAATACGCCTCCAGTCACGAGGAATGGCGTCCACGACTCTCATTAACCTAAAATGTGGTATCGGAGATAAATTTGCATGTAATACCTTCACACCCTTTAAGAAGATTCCAGTGTCAGAAATGAGATCACCGATCGTAACAATTCCTTTAGAAAGCAAGTGTTTTTCGAAAAGTGAGATCTTTTGGACAGTAATATTTTTATTGTTCCATATAACCTGGTGACCTACATCTTCATACGAAAGTATCGAAGGTTGCCTTAACATGGACCAAGCGTCCGGGCACTCCCTATAAAAGGTCGGAAGTTAGATAGGTAACTGTCTGGTATCAAAATTACACTTAAGAACAAATTCTCCCCCTACCTGAGAAAGGAAGTAATTCAATGTTATTTTCCAAGAGTTGTTATAATCTTTATTTGTAAATCTTTTTAATACCATCACCCTCTGTGCGAGGATCATCGACTGAATATCCAACATCTTAAGCCCTCCATCCTCGATATCATTGATAAGAGCGGTGCGTTAATTTTATCATTGTCTTTCCAATTAAAACGGTACATCAGACCGTTGACCTCTTTAATTAAATCATTTGTGACTGTAATCAACGACGCTTTACTCAAGACTTTAGGGATAATAAACGTTTCAACAAGCCTCCCAGAAGCGTAAGCCCTCTCCATTTCCACATATTTATTGTATTTTTGATAGACTATATAAAACACCTTCGGAAGCTCAGCTTAAAAAATTTCTATGCATTCCTTTAGGTTGTACCCTTGCTTTATTGGATTTTCATGCCGAACACAAATAAATAACGGTAAATTAAATACCAGTCTGAGTTTCCGAGACGACCATTAACGCTGTCAACATGTTCCGTTCTGTCTTAGTGCGGATCGTTTCGGTGAACCCTACGCGGCTCATATTGTTAAGGACGTGGCCCACTCCCCTAAAGATTCTGGATTATCCCCATCGCTGCCATATGCTAATCTTAAGGCATTCGAGTCACTCCCTTCTAAAAAAAGACATCGTCCGCAGAACTATTGCTATTTGCACGAGTTGCCATACGAATTACACTGTGGAATACGTGTTGCGCAATATTCTAGTGCCACCGCTTATTTACGTCACCACTTCTCGCTACTGTTTTCACCGGAAGTGGAATTTCATTTAAAAATGCCGATTTTTTTTCCCTGAAATAAGTCAAATTGGACAAAACGAACTGCAAGTTCGTTTTCCATACCACTTTTTTACATTGAATAAAGTAAACATGTATTACACGCCCTTTAACAATTTACGACATCTTCAATGACTCAAACCAGAAAAGGAGAAAATAAAAAGCTGTTCCAAAATCGTAACGAGTGTGACACAAAGGGAAGAGGAACTAAACGAGGGGAACTCAAATTGATTGAAAAGATTTGAGTTCCCCTCGAGAATCGAATCTCCTTCCTTCCAATTTCGCAGAGGGTGTTACAATGCTTGAGCTTCGAATCCGTCCATGTTCGGGGTTACAAGATGTTGCCGGGCTGAGTTTCATTATCAGGCCCGGTTGTTCAAAAGTAGGATAACGCCATCCACTGGATAAATCGCCATCCACTGGATAGCGCAGTACGTTTTCTCAACAGTTATCCGCTGGATACTGATTTATCTGTTGAACAGCATTATCCACTCTTTGAACAACTGGGCCCAGATCTATAACAAAGGACATTCTGTTACTCAGTTTTTATTTTCACACGATAACAAAGTAAGTCAAAGAGATTACAATAACTTTCCGAGTCAATCACTATATCTAACTCGCTACAAAAACTGTCTCTACAGAGAGGGCTTCATGAAAGAAAAATTCAACTCAAGCAAATTTAAAAGACACAAGGATCTTGACATGATATCAAAACTCTTTTCTAAAAACCGAAAACTAAAAACTATATTAAAGATAGTAAATATGAAAGCGATCTTCGCAGTAATGAAGTTAATATGAAGTATATAGACAAATATGATTGTCATAGACTCACAGTTATATAAAAACATACGGCAAACTTTAATGTTCAATTTGCATAGAAACTACCTCGATGCTGCAATTGACCAAGAACGGAAATCTCAACTTAAAAATGAATTACATTTTACGATGCAAATGAAACATTCGTAAGATTCAAATAGAAAAACATCACCAACACGACCTACTAGCGAAATAAACTGCTTCCCAATCGACAAATAAAGTAGATGGTCCTTTGAAATAAATTCTTTGTGAATAAATCTTCCAAGTTTAACTTTCTACTCATTCCAGAAACAAAAGAAAAATTCGCCGAAATTTTTTGACTGAGGAAGAGCCCATTACTTCTTGAGTCTCTTAAATACTTTAACTATTTCAATCGTGATCAGTAAAACGGGAATAAGTTTTTTAAAATTCAATTGAAAGTAAAATTTACCTTAGTTCACCGACTATTCTGCAACACACAGTTGTGTCTTTCATACTATGTATTAAGAAATTAAAATTGAGTTTTTGATACAAAAGTTTAAAACTGAGGTTTCGCCTTTAAGACCTAATTCAACAACTAGTTTTTTTTTACTGACAGACAAAATCGCTACACGCCGAGATGATCAGGACGTTTAAAAACTGAGATATTATGCCTTTAAAACCAAGCCATATCGCTGAAAATACTGAGGAAGCTCCTGTCGCCAGAGAAGTTGGTTCAAATCGTTGCCAAAAACCATCAGCAAGGATCTCGTCTTTTCTACAAACAGGATAAAAGGGGTCAGAAAGGTATTCATTTTAACATAGGTTCGAATACGTTCCTAAAGTAAGAAACCTGTTTAACACACCGATATTTGTAGAAGTATCAGAAATCGAAGGAGTGATTAACTTAATAATTAACATTTTAAATGCAAGATATACGTGGCAACAGCACCGACGAGCGAATATTCCTTTCGCTCATTTTGATATACATTGTACACAAACCGAGACTGATATTACGTCATTATGTTTATCATTACACATCCTTGGAAAAGTTTTGGTTAAAGTCTTCCTTTAAACCAGGATATCAATTTGCTCCTCATTGCACATCATACGTTGCGATTGCGTACCTAAAAGCAAATCATCTTTGAAGACATAAGAGCCGTTGCAGTTAGCCGCTCGCGAATTTGATCATTTTCAGAGCACTAAAATTTGAATGGCAGAAACTTATAATAGTGTGATTGATTCTCTTCGTGCAAATATGATGAGGGCGTAATTCAAAATATATCATCAATTAATATTTGCCTACCTCTATCTGACAATATCCCAAACTCCCATCTTCAAATTCATTCCAGTGTGACGTCATCCCCAATGAGTACAAAGGGTGCCCAGTACTTCACATCTCTGAACTCTTCAGACACTTTCATGCTCTTCATAGCTTGGTTAAGAGCTTCACTTGCAAGCTTGCCAGTAACCAGTTCTTCGTAGAAATGTTTCATAAACACGAGAGTAGCCTTGTCATCAATCGCCCACAGCGACACGAGAACAGAGCGAGCGCCGGCACCTAAAAACGCTCTTGCAATTCCAACAACTCCCTCAGCCTTAATCTCTCCACGACCACTGTGACAACAACTCAACACAACCAGCCTTGCTCGTATCCGAATATCCAGCACATCTTTCATTGTTAGAATAAAATCCTCCTCAACAAAGGGCAGTGATGAGCAAGTACTTCGTGGCGCTAAAGCAATTTCGCCTGTTTCCATTCGGCCATGTGCAGCAAAGTGCACCAAGGCAACAGAGGGAAGTCGCCTCAACACTTCATCTTTTCTTGCTTCTTCACCACTAAGAGGATCAGCGCCAAGGATTCTCCCGATTATCTCAACTTCTTCTCTCGCACATGGCAGTGGATCGAGCTTCCTCCCCTCGTAAAGAACCCCCTCCAAACATGGATCACCCACGAGTAAAGCACTTTTCTTATTGTGGAAGTCGTCTGGGTAATTGTTTATCAACTTCAAAGTAGTTAGGGATGGAGTCGTTCGAACTCGGAAAGAGTCACACAAATAATTTGACTCGGAATCGATCAATGCAGCAAAAGGGACTGACCACAGTGAACTCTCGGGAACAAAGATAATTTCATCGCCATTGATCAGATCACCAATCGGCTCAATGATAACGTCATACAACATCTTCAAGGCAGCTTTCGGTGAGCATTCAGGAGAGAAATAACCATGACCTGACCTTTTCTTCGCTAATTCTTCAGCGCAGGGCTCATCAAGAGAGCGATCTTCACATTCAATAACACCTCTTTTAAACGCTCTTGATGCTGTGTTCATTAAGCTTCCAATAAAGGTATTGACATCTTCGAACGAGCCATAATTACTTATCTCAGTACTTCTCAATTGAATATCTTGAAAGCTGTTAATAAACCAGTAGAATATCTTGCGCGATGTAACATCTACAGCCATGAAAACTGTATTTGAAACAGCACAGCTTACAAGGACCTCAAGATCAGAATTCCCTGGAGTGTGAGGCCCAGGCTGTATTCCTCCCGACCCATACCTAACACAAATCAGATCATTAAGAGCCTGCGCACGTCCTTGTTCAGCAGATAAAAGCGCATCCAAAATTTGATCTAGTTTTAAATGAAGACACCACAAACAAGTGTATGCGTTTCTTTGCATGTCGCGGTAGCTAATCTTCCAATCATCTCTGAACCGCAAATTGGCTCGGATAACGTCAAAAACTGTGACGCAAGAACGATACAGGTTGAGAGCTCTTTCCAGATCTCCTAACCTCCAATAAGCATTGCCGAGATTGCAGTAACTCTTTCCCTCTCCAGCCTTGTCTCCCACTTCTTTGGCAATTTTTAGATGACGTTCATGATACTGGATGGCTCTTTCGAAATCTCCTAGGCTATGATAAGCATTGCCGAGATTGCAGTAACTCTTTCCCTCTCCAGCCTTGTCTCCCACTTCTTTGGCAATTTTTAGATGACGTTCATGATACTGGATGGCTCTTTCGAAATCTCCAAGGCTACGATAAGCATTGCCGAGATTGCAGTAACTGATTCCCTCTCCAGCCTTGTCTCCCACTTCTTTGGCAATTTTTAGATCACGTTCATGATACTGGATGGCTCTTTCGAAATCTCCTAGGCTATGATAAGCATTGCCGAGATTGCAGTAACTCTTTCCCTCTCCAGCCTTGTCTCCCACTTCTTTGGCAATTTTTAGATGACGTTCATGATACTGGATGGCTCTTTCGAAATCTCCAAGGCTACGATAAGCATTGCCGAGATTGCAGTAACTCTTTCCCTCTCCAGCCTTGTCTCCCACTTCTTTGGCAATTTTTAGATGACGTTCATGATACTGGATGGCTCTTTCGAAATCTCCTAGGCTACGATAAGCATTGCCGAGATTGCAGTAACTCTTTCCCTCTCCAGCCTTGTCTCCCACTTCTTTGGCAATTTTTAGATGACGTTCATGATACTGGATGGCTCTTTCGAAATCTCCTAGGCTTTGATAAGCATTGCCGAGATTGCAGTAACTGATTCCCTCTCCAGCCTTGTCTCCCACTTCTTTGGCAATTTTTAGATCACGTTCATGATACTGGATGGCTCTTTCGAAATCTCCTAGCCTACGATAAGCATTGCCGAGATTGCAGTAACTCTTTCCCTCTCCAGCCTTGTCTCCCACTTCTTTGGCAATTTTTAGATGACGTTCATGATACTGGATGGCTCTTTCGAAATCTCCTAGGCTATGATAAGCATTGCCGAGATTGCAGTAACTCTTTCCCTCTCCAGCCTTGTCTCCCACTTCTTTGGCAATTTTTAGATGACGTTCATGATACTGGATGGCTCTTTCGAAATCTCCTAGGCTACGATAAGCATTGCCGAGATTGCAGTAACTCTTTCCCTCTCCAGCCTTGTCTCCCACTTCTCTGGCAATTTTTAGATGACGTTCATGATACTGGATGGCTCTTTCGAAATCTCCTAGGCTATCATAAGCATTGCCGAGATTGCAGTAACTGATTCCCTCTCCAGCCTTGTCTCCCACTTCTTTGGCAATTTTTAGATCACGTTCATGATACTGGATGGCTCTTTCGAAATCTCCTAGGCTACGATAAGCAATGCCGAGATTGCAGTAACTCTTTCCCTCTCCAGCCTTGTCTCCCACTTCTTTGGCAATTTTTAGATGACGTTCATGATACTGGATGGCTCTTTCGAAATCTCCTAGGCTATGATAAGCATTGCCGAGATTGCAGTAACTCTTTCCCTCTCCAGCCTTGTCTCCCACTTCTTTGGCAATTTTTAGATCACGTTTATGATACTGGATGGCTCTTTCGAAATCTCCTAGGCTACGATAAGCATTGCCGAGATTGCAGTAACTCTTTCCCTCTCCAGCCTTGTCTCCCACTTCTTTGGCAATTTTTAGATGACGTTCATGATACTGGTTGGCTCTTTCGAAATCTCCTAGGCTTTGATAAGCATTGCCGAGATTGCAGTAACTGATTCCCTCTCCAGCCTTGTCTCCCACTTCTTTGGCAATTTTTAGATCACGTTCATGATACTGGATGGCTCTTTCGAAATCTCCTAGGCTATGATAAGCATTGCCGAGATTGCAGTAACTGATTCCCTCTCCAGCCTTGTCTCCCACTTCTTTGGCAATTTTTAGATGACGTTCATGATACTGGATGGCTCTTTTGAAATCTCCAAGCCTATGATAAGCGTTGCCAAGATTGCAGGAACTCCTCCCTTCTCCAGCTTTGTCCCCTACTTCAATAGAAAAATGCAAATTGTTTGCATATTGGAGGATCTTTTGGACAGCCGCTTGAGATAGCTGATCGTTGATTTGTATATCCTAAGGTTTAAAGTTAGAAATATTGTTAAATTGTTTGACTACCTTTTATCCCCTTGGCTTACCTATCCTTAATTACGTTTCGCGATGGCTAATATATGGGCCAGACTTGCTTATGGTGCTACTCAATTTATGCAACAAAGCCAGCTGGATATGGACTGACGACATTTCTTCTTACGCCTCTTCTGTAATGAAACGAAAGTTGTTTTGACCCAGTGGTCGTTGTTCGAGGCTTTAAATGATAATATCTTTGAAGTGAGGAAAAAACTTACTGTCAGAGTCTAAGAAAATTGACAAAATAAATTCAATACTGATAAATAGTTAATAAACAATATCAGAGTGCAAAATCATTCGAACAGAGCCTAGTGAGACACAACTGCTTAACCGTCTTAGATTTTAAACATACTCAAGGTATCACAAACATAACAACTGCCTTCTTCAATTTGTATATATATATATATATATATATATATTTTGATATATATATATGTATATATATAGATGCATATATATGTATGTATGTATGTATGTATATATACATACATATACATTTATGTATATATATATATAAGCAGTGTAGATCTGGTATACCTAACGCTGAACTCCCGGTAAGAGGATCCGCAGGATACAATGTCTCGACGTGAATTTGTAGTTAGGTGTACTATAAGGGCGTAACGAAGAGGCCAACTCTTGACTGTTCTGGACGAGTTTAATGCACGACGTTTCGGCCGTTCGGCCTTCTTCAGGTTAGAAATTAACCTTGGAGGGGAGATTGTTGCTGCGGTTTAATGGCCCTTTCCTGGGATCCTGTTGTGGTTTCTGCCTGATTGAATTCATTCAGAGGCCTTCAGTGGGGAGCTTGCTACTCCGGAGTAAACACTACCAATTAAGTTAGATTCTTTTTTCTCTCTAATTTTTGTCACTTATTTGTATTCACCTTATTTGTATTCACATGCCACCCATAGTTCTTTATTTGCCTTTCCTTGTTTAACCCTTCTCAGTTTGTAAGTTAGACCTTTGTTGCATTACATAACTTCCGTCTTAAAATTTCTGTTTTGTATATAAGTCGCAATCATTGTAAATAGCTTTTTAGTTTTTAATTTTTAACCTGAAGAAGGCCGAACGGCCGAAACGTCGTGCATTAAACTCGTCCAGAACAGTCAAGAGTTGGCCTCTTCGTTACGCCCTTATAGTACACTTAACTACTCTATATATATATATATATATATATATATATATATACTACTATATATATACGGAAAAATTGAGCTGGTCTGTCCTCCATGGAAGCGTCCCTTTCCGCGTTACCTCTTGGTTTTCGATTAATTTTAAAGTCGTAAACTTTCTCTTACCTCGATTTTCTCTTTGGTATCGTCACGGTTAGTGTTAATTTCCTGATTAATTCTCGTTTCATCTGTGCCATCCGATGGTTGATTATCACACTCGGTCCACAAATCAAGTAACTTCTTATTGTTATTGTTAATCTTAAAAGGCTCGAGTTAAAGAATTTGCCTTCTAAAGAGTTTTAGGTCAGTTCTGTTTACAATACAATTTCAAACTCAACCCAGTTCATGCCAGCATTCAATCCGGTGTCATGAAAATTGGCCACAATAGCTGAAAGTAATACAAATACAGTTATTACCACCTCTACTTCTTCTATTACCGGTAATGGTGAGGGTGGTAGAAGCAGAAGTACTGCCAGCGCAAGAAGCACAGCCAGCATTATCGTGAACGTCATTTGTGTTTCCATTGCCGGTGCACTGCAAGTGTGTGGAGTTAGCTAACATTGAATACATTTAAATGTATTCAATGTAAGCCCTATTAGACAAATCATTTACCTGAATGGGTGATTTTAAAAATAACTCTCCCTGTATATGAACGTTCCTTTATTCTACTTAGCCAACATATTAAAGCAACAAACTAGGGTTTATAAGCCGAAAATTCAGAAGCACGGGTGTATTTTTGCCCAAAGTGGAATAGAAGGTCAGACAAAAATTGTGCACCTAATTCTCATGGTCTAGATCAGTTGTGTTAACGAATGTATAAGCTTACATGTAAATGTGCACCTGACTCCGCACACTTGCGGTGACTGGAGCTGGCAATGACACTGCCAATGGCGCAAGTAGACGGTTTTAACTCCAGTGATAGGACATGAGAGAAAAGGAATTGCAGAACTTTGTTTTTAGGCATGAGGTTTGATAGGAATTTGGAGTTGTTTGGCATCTACTGAGCATTATGGTAAGAGCTGATATAGTTAAGGGCATCACTCAGGTGAACGTTTGAACCCAGTACTGTTTAAGATGATTTCTGGTGTTGTTGGCCGTCTAATATAAATGGCAAGTCGCCCGGTTTCTTGAATTCGTATATTTATCAGAGTCAACAAGATATGGGAACCACCTACTTTTCGCTTTTTTACATGAGTAATTAAATGAAAGAAATCTCCGAAGCAGTATTGGCTTTTTCTACATTCGTCAAAGGATACTGCCAATCCTTTCTGACACCAGGTAATGGCTTCTTGATACAAGTGTTGTTGTACACATGCACTGGCCCCTTAAGGAAATTGAAAAAATTGATATCAAGAAAGATCATTTTTCGCACTGCGGATAATAAAGGACCTCAACTTGTACTTCTATTTCAATCTTACAAATCTTAACTTTAGTGATGTCTCGCAATATACACAATCAAAGTAAATTACCAGACTCGAGACCGAGTGTGAAATGGAGACTGGTGAAGAAATTGAGAGGTATAGGTAGAGATAGCTTACGAGTGAGAACAGGGGAAGAGAGAGATATCGGGTTGTGTGTTATGTAAAAATAATACTCATTTATGACGATAAAAGTCGGCTTTATCAATAAATGAAAAAAAGGAACCTCGATCCTCGAAAAAAAAAGTTGTAAAGTGCGTGGGCGATAAGGCTCATCGTAATTTTACACGTGTGCTGTTAAGACATTTCTCAGGCTTGGTAATCATTGTAAAACATCGCAGTTTAGATAATATACGTGATGATGCAGCAGCTTTTTCATTAACTATCAGAACTTACAACTTAATCCAAAACCCTATAAGAGTAGGTGGATTACTTTTCAAAATGGGAAATTTGGAATTTTCATTATGCTTTTGCAAGAAGGTCTGTCAAATGCAAAGTCGAAATTAAGACAATAAATTAGGTTGTGAAATGATTTAAGGAGATCAGACAATGCGGAACCCAGCACGAGCTTTTTTCCTGAATGATCTACTGGTCAGATGAGTCCAACCTTTCGGTCATCCTCGGAGACATTTTCTGCATGTCTCAGGAAATGTATAGAACTTACCGATTTCTATTGCTTCAATGAAATTTGGTGCCAATTGAGCAGACACTGTAGCATCATCCAAAGCTTCTTCCCAATTTCCTGACAAAATAATTTGGTGTGAGTACGGAAGGACAAATTCTCAACTTTCAGAATTGGAATCTACTTTAAACGTTGCAGCTACTGATGTCTTCTCAGTGCTGGGTAAGTTGCCAAATTAGCGAAAAAGTCTTGCGAGAGCATCTGAATTTCGGTCTGTCTGATTTTCATACATCTGATTGGCTAGTTTGAGGTTCACAATTTTTAGTGTCAGGTTTTATCCCATCTTTCAAATAGCCAGCGGACGAATAAAAAATCGGCCAGAACGAGTGATGTTGGTGACGGGGCCATGCATTGAGCCTGTCCCAGTCACGCCAGCGCTACCTTCCCATATTACTTTGAGGTTGCTGCAAGCACGGCGAAAGTTTTCCTTCACGCACACCATTCGAACTGTAGAGGATTGGAATCAATCCCTATCAAAATGAATACAAAACTGGAACGATTGATTAATTCTTACCCAGAAGGAGCTGAGCCGCTGCTCTGTTGCTATAGAGTTTGGCGTTTAGTTTGACATCTTTGCAGTTCACTTGCAGTCCCTCCGAGTAAAAGTGTACTGCATTATTGGTTTCTCCTTTGCTGTACTCGTTGTCACCTTCTTTCAAGTACACCTCCGCCATCGCTAACAGAAAAGTAGAAAACATCCATGACATAGAACATAACTCAATAGGGATGCACAAAATAGCAGCCAGACATATACAGATGTGTAAAATATCCAGGAGAGCAGCAGTTTGAACCGACTGTCAAACGTTAAAGTCATTTTGTTGACTTGCAAAATTTGTCTGCATTTTTCCTGTTCCATGATCACTAAGCGGTACAGGTCCCTTTGTGTGCCTCTCTTAAAAGGATTGCGTAACCCTAATTGACTCGATGACCATACCTTATTGAATAGGTTGTGTTTATTTTAATTGTTATTATTACCTTTTAAGGTTGCATCATCAAATTGCGATGTACCATCTGACGGTAAAACGGCCGGAACGTCTATAACGACAGAAAAATAATCAGACAAGTATATAGGGGACAAGGATCTTTCTGATCTCTCTGTTGGCCTCCAAGCATTGTGGCGTGATAGGTCAGCCACTGAACAGTTTCATACCTAAATTGTACCATACCAGCTTAAGTAAAGTAAAGAATCAAATACGTTGGATGATTTAGCAAACATAGACAAACACTGATAAGTTCATTCAAAACAACGTGAATCGAAGTATTTGGAAAAATAGTCAAACTCCATCTCCAGTGCTTGATATATGTTACCCATCGAAACTAAAATTAAGATGTAGAAGCGGCGAAATAAGGTTTTAAAAAAGTACGCCGTGTAAAGAAGATTCCTGCCATACATAAAATATGATACATAAGAGACACGCCACGGTACCGGCATGCCTTGTGATTAAACAATTAAACACTGATTAAAGAGTTTAACGGAGAGATATATGTTGATCTTATCGACAAAATCAACAAAAACGTCAGGTGCTGGACTCCATCGAGGCGGGGGTGAGAGGAAGAACGATAGAGACCTTAAGATGGACAACGGAAAAGTAGATGAAGAGGAACCGATTTACCTGGAGAGAGGTTCTGAGGACAAAGCGAAGAAAAGATCGTACTGGTGGTCCTTTTTCATAAGGTTAGATACCCGAAGGCACGAAAAGGACAACAATTTTTCTGAGTTTTTTTTGTTTTATTTTTATGTTCCTTACGAGATCACATTTAATATTCCATACAGTCTGAGAAATACGCTATCCTAAAGGTTGTGTTCGGTCAAGAAGTCGATAACTTCATACTCCCAAATTTTTCTCTCAGTATAAGAGTTTTGGCGTGGAACTGAGTTTCCTTTCAATTCAAGAATTGGCATCTGAAACATGGAAATGAATCACACCACAAATTCATGTTGTGACTATGACCTGTATGTAAGACTACTTTACTCACCTGCCTGAATATCATCAGCTAAATTCACTTTTAAGTCACCAGATCTGACTTGACGTTCCTCTGCAGCTGGAAAACACAACATCACGTTCATGGTGAAACCATTACCCTTAAAAAAAAAGACCTTTCACAAGCGGTTTTACTTTTATTTTTCATCATGCTTGAGCGAAATTGTAAAATAATGTGTTTTGCTAATCACCCTGGAAATGATAACCATGTGACATTTTCCATAACAGAAAGTTAGTGGTAATTAAGCTGTTTTTTTCTTACCGTCTGTAGGTTTCCCATCATCAACGCTGACCTTACCACCTTCCGCCATCACTGCAAAAGAACCAAATACTCTAAAACTTCATGATATCAATTTTGAGATCAATCTCACCGGCTTTGGTTGTATTAAGCTGAAATCGAAAAGGAAGGGCTTTCAACATTTATACCTGCTTAGATTTGCAGAGCATACCATAGTCTACAACCAAGCCTTAGCCATGTATAATTCCTAACTAATTTAAGTATTAGCCCTTTTAGCCCAAAATTCAGCATAACTATTTCTTCGTTCACCCGTCATTAGTTGATTTTTCGTAATAACTTTTCTGATAATGATATAAATGGGCGAAAACAATCAAGACAGTTGAGTATTCCACAATTGTTTCTTGAAGAAAGTTCAAGGCTTTGACGGAAAATGAAATTCCCAGATAGTAGTAAATCGAGGGGTTCATTCGGAGAATTAGAGCTATTATAGCAGGATTGGTAACATTGATTTTGAGCCACAACCAACCTGTGTTATTCAGAGTAAACAGAGCGACCTTGGCGCACAAGCGTTAGATAAGTCACATGACCTGTCAACCTAAAGGAAAAAACACGCTATTTCAGCCCTTAACAGCAAAATCAATCAGCCACAATCAGACCAAAGGTTGACAAATATGATTGCGAGAGCACAAGATTCAATATTTTTGAGACAGCAAAACATTGTAAAGGGGTCAGCAACAGTTTAAAGAGCTGACGATATCAGTCACAGTGTTCGAAATGAGAACAGTTTGCGGAAAGTGCCTGTTTATAACCCAGGGAAGAGTTTTTACGGTCCCCCTGGATAACGGCTACGCTATGCGTGCGTGTGCGCCTATTGGTAGCGAGATTCTGTAGAGGTAACTTCGGTTACAGATTTAAGCTCTGAACTGGGAAAGACAGATAACCTTTCAACCGGAAAAGGGAAAAGATCACAAGATTCGCTTTCTGACAAAGCCTTAATAGAACTTATCCCTTTATTCAAGGCTTAATGTAAGTCAACAGCCAATTCACTTAATTTGACACCATCTCCCATAGCCCGGATATAATTATAGTGCAAAAGAATACATAATGCAAAAAACAGCTGACAAAACCTTGTGCCAACTTAACACATATTACTGGAATCACTTAAAGGTAAATGCGTAGACAGCTTTATTTTAACAACGTTTAAAGATCATCTGAGTTCGAATGTAATAAACACCTCTGCTACTGTCGGAGACCTTGTGTTTCGTGCGTGACACATATCAGATAATAAGTGTAAACATTATATCAAGAGAGACAATTTTTAACTTAAAGAGACTGTCATTTGTTATCAAGAGCTAGAAGCACCGCCTTTTGTGATTTTGGCACATTGAAAGGTTTGCATAATAGACGCAACCTTGAATAACCTTTTATATCAGTACTTAGCAACAACCAATCATAATGTAGAGAATGTAGTAAAGAGAGTGATTTCGTTACAAGTTATTCAGAGTAGCTCTTTACACACCCGTTGTAACTGAGTAAATAGGAGAGTGGAATTAAACAGTTGAGCTTAATCGAGTCTATGGATTGATTCTAGTTCGTTAGGATTCTATCCCTAGTAAACGGGGCAAAGTTTACGAAACTACAACCAGATTCTCGCCTTTTATTGAACCATGTAGTGATCAAAACTGTTCCTATAACAGCCTAACAGAAGGGAATATGATTTGTCCACGATGGAACTTCCCTTAAAAAGACCCAGTTTCAATCACTACTATAGTGGACCTTCTCAAACGCGCCGGAAGTTTTTTAAACATCTCAAGCGTAACAGGGAAATTTCCCCGAAAGTGGGGAAAAGGGGTTCCCCTCCATTAGAAACTGAAACCGGAACTCATGACGTCACCCATTTCTTCACAAAACTCGAACATTCAGATCTTTTTCTGAACATAAATGTAAAATGTAGACGCAGTTTTTAGTTTTGTCCCATGGACTAGCTTGGAGTTATTTCTGCGATATTAGCAAGGAAAAATTTACAACTTGGTTTCGCTGACAAGCAATCATCGACAGTGTGTCATTACTGGCAGTTTTCTATCAGTTCTACCCAAATCAAGAATCTAATTGTCAGTTTTGGTGAACTGACAATTAGCATTTAGATCTGTTTATTCTTGTGTTAGATCCACGGTAATCCGTGAAATATCCGCAGACGATTTTTCCAACGATTTACGCAGGTAAAGGTGCAATGAACACGATGTTTGATGTGTTAGGACTGATGACAAGAGATGTAACTACATTTGTAAAGCAAAATGTATCCTGACCGTGATACAGTTATGAATGCGATCAATGTCCCCGACTCTTCACCGAATAATTAATATTCTATGTAAACATACTCTGGTAAAAAAAATTAAAGGCCGCCCCAACATTGCAAGCTGACAGAATTCCGCTATTTTTAGGGGTCTTCATTGAAAGAAGGCTTTTGTCAAACGAGGTAATATTAATTTTAACTTGGCGGACATCTATAACTGCAACTACGTGTATGTCGCTGAGTTTTCAGGAGGGTGAGTTCAACCACATTTACTAGTCCTACTACAGCCAAACTCTTACCGCGGAGTTCCCGAGTTCTTTTTTAGTAACCTACTGGAGGACTCTGGAAATATCTAACGGCAACTATAGACTTGCCTAAAGGTACCTACGTTTGTGTCGCCGATCCATCAGGACGGCAAAATTATTTAATCACATATACAACAACCAAAATCTTACCTCCGTGTTTCCAACCTTCTTTTTTAAGTTTTCTTACTAGCCTTAACAAAGAGTCAAAGAGAAAAGCTGATATAATAAACCGACAGCAACAGCTCCGTTTGCAAGACTATGCAAATATACAACTGGAACTCGCTCAGACGCACGAGAGTTTTGACCTCTCAAGTGAGGGGGTTCCCCTAGTTTTAGCGGAAATGCTTAGGTCACGTAACCTAATAATTGTTACGAAAATATTCCGCCAAATTGGATGTCCTAATAAGTTTACTCCCATTTTGTGTCGAATGAAAACATTGTAAAAAATGGTTTAAGTTTTTCTGCATGGGTGGTTTAATTCATGTTTCGTCCACGATTAGTATTTGGCAAAGGTAGTTTCACATACAGGCACAAACAGGAAGGCGTCGGTTCATGATTGACAGTAACTGATTGATGCTGCCCTCGGGAGTTAAATTCCATCTCCCCTATTGGAAAGACTGAAAAAAGCTGTTTGTAATTCCCAAACAAATGGGCAAAGTTACTCGAAGCTAAATTGTACGATATAAAGTGGGAGACTATAGCGGTTTTACAGTTTAATAAAGGACGTTGAATGTCGGAAAGTGTTGGGTTCTCCTAATTTTCAAAATCGAGAACAGAGGTGGAATCCTTGACATGATGAATATGTCATGTTCCTAACAAAAGATAGCCTCACTTCCAGGGACTCTTCAATAAGCTTCATCTACTACGTTAGCAGAAATTTTTTTTGGGATCACTTTCTGAAGGAGCTTAGATACCAGGCTCAACTAGGTAACCAAGCCTTCTGATGATTTGTTAACAATTCTATACTCACCTCCCCCGACTGGTTGAAGTGCGATTGGATGGGGACAGGGAAGGGAACAGTTTTGTTACTTGCGCGAGAAAAAACAAATTGGAAGTTATCTATTAACCCTTTTTTTTTTATTTTCGCGTGAAAGAATATTACCTTATTTCGCTGCGCTCCGTTCAAATACGAATCTTCTGCCTTTGGCTAAAATACGCTTTCTTCGTGAATTCTAAACTCTACTCACGGTCAAATGGAACCGAAGGGAATTTCAAACCTAGAAAATACTTGCTTCTGAATAGTGTCTTAGCTCTGCTCTCGGTGACGTTTTTCCGAAGGACTCGCTAGATTGCAGAACAATCGCAAGAAGTGCACCTCGTTGAGTACAGGTCTTGAAAATGTATTCAATGTTAAAAGAAATCCTAGCAGGCAAACAAAATTAACCTTTTGGTAAACTACGTAATTGAACCAAGTACTTTTTTTTTTAACGGACCACAAAATTCGTCGTAAGTGTAGTAATCCGCTTATTTATTCTTGACATTAAGCTTATTTCGACTTAATAAAGCAATTGGTATCAATCATATGAAAATACGTATTTGACAACTTGATAATCTTGTTAGAACGTCATAGGAAGTTGTACCTTCAAAGAAGCTACGTGTAAAATCTGTAAGGCCTTTTCACTGTTTATAGCGGTAAATTTATATTCACCGTGGAAGCTTTACACGTCTTAGTTATTTGCTTGATTATTTTTTGACGCTGTTGTGTTGAGCATCCATCCGAAGTGTGCGTGACTGAGTGCTCAGGGTGCAAAGAGTGAAAACGGTACGCAAACCTAATAATTTCGACCCCTCCACCCCTCCCTGCTCCACCCTCTACAAAAATGAGTAGTTTCTGGACCATATTGACTTGAAATTTTACACTTGGTAATTCCTAAATTTACTGATGCCTCACACAAGAGAAAATTATTTTCATATCATATCTGTGCATCACTGAGGCCTTCCATTAATAAAAAGGCTATTCTGGTATGTTCCAATAATGGCTCTGGGTCAGTGCATTTGCAACAAAGGATGGAAAAAATGAATTATTATTATTATTATTAACATTTTTATTATTGTGTTACATACTCTTAACCAAATTTGAAACTTTACCACTCCCCTCCCCTAAAGCAGCTATATGTAAACAATATAGGGCCTTTTTTAAAGTCCTCACAGTTTAATGCCTCAAGGCTTGCTGGTTTGGCAGTCAGTGGAAAAGTAATGAAAGAAATACATTCAATTGGATTTAAATGATTATAATTAAGATTTAAATATCAATTCCAACTGAGCAATGACTCACGATACAGAAAACAAGACATTGATTGCATTATATTAGGTGGCTTAATCCAAATGAGCCAAGAAAGCTTTTTTTTTTGTTTTGTTTTGTACCTAATCATAAAAAAGCCCCATATTCTGTAATTGTAAGTCATAAAGTGAAATTCAGTACTCTATCGATATTCAATAGACCTAACTGCAGTTTTCAACACCACCTTAATGGGTTGGTGGGTAGGCATGACCTTGCAGTATTTGTATGAGAATCCAATGTGAAATAATCTTTGTGAATTATATTAGGTGGCTTGATGCAAATGAGCCAAGAAAGCATTTTTTTTTGTTTGGTACCTAATCATAAAAAGCCCCATATTCTGTAGTAGTAAGTCATGGAGTGAAATTCATTACTTTAACTATTTCAATAGACCTTACTGCAGTTTTCAACACCACCTTGATGGGTTGGTGGGCAGGCTTGACCTTGCAGTATTTGTATAAGAATTCAATGTCAAATAATTTTTGTGAAAAATTCTGTTATGATAAAAATATCAGAAATATGGCAAACGTAAGCAACAGTTGTAAACGTTACAGGAAAAGGATTCTTCTGTAAAAGAATTTTCTTCTTGCAGACTAAAATTTCCTGAAAAAAAATAACAGACAATGCAAGGAAAATCTATTACAAACAACAGGGCAAATTAAAGGACAGGTACAGCCATAGCCACTATGAAGTAAGCATCCCTACCACTCCCAAAATGCATTATCAGTTGCCTCAGATGTCCAGGCAGTCCAGGCAGTCCAGGGAACAATTTAAACATTGACTCAGTCTTGTGTAATCAGATTAATTGCTGCTAAGTGCATTATTTCATGACAGCGTACTTCAACAAGTTAGGTATACATATAGTATATACCACAAAAGCAAATTATTTCTGGTGTTATTGCTAATTGAGATATCAGATCAAGAAAGTATAAGGTTATTAATAAAGAGTTAAATTTTAGCAGTAAGCTTTTCGAGTTATTGATTTGACAATTTACTGTACGTTGTAAAATTACAAAAGGAAACACTAAATTTAGGTTGTAAAACACTAAAAAACTTACTTACTTACCTTTCAGTCTCAAAAGGTTTTCCTCTTTACTGCTTTAAAAATTTGAGCTTGTGTTTACTACTCGCCGAAGTTCCTTGTATTCTCTAGTGTGACAAAAAAGGTCACGCAAGGAAGAAAAGGCTTGGGCACAAATTCAGTAGGCTTGGCTACTGAGTTGAGCCTGGTTTCTAAGCTCCTTTAGAAAGTGATCCCAAAAAAAATTTCTGCACTACGTTATAGCGACTCATGCAAAAGATAACCATTCACAAAACTATCAGACAAACAGTGACCCTGTTGTAGCCCGAAGTACACCATTGCTTTACATAAAACAATCTTTTAAATGGAAAACATGTCTGGGATTTATCTCAAAGAATATCTTTCCCAGCTTTATTTTGGTCTCGTGTTCCTTTGTCTGGTTGGTTTGGTGTTTTAGAGATTCATAACGATTGAAACGAGGTCAGCCATTTTGTTTTTGTGAGATAAACCTTGGACCGATTTTTCTAGTCTTTAAAAGCAACCTTTTTACTATTAAAAATCGTCAAATCCTCACTTCTAGTCACCTACAAAACATGCACGAGTTACAAATAATTTTGGGAGTCACTAAATGAAAGCCAAATTAGAGAACAGACACAGCGGAAGTCATCAGCTACAAATAGATCATGAGGTTATAACTTCACCTGGAGTTAACTTCTCCAGACCGCGTGAGTTATTCCAAATACCTTCAGCTGACTGACGTTAGACACAGTAAACCGTAGAATATGGACAAACAATCAAACTAACCATTTATGAGGAGGAAATTTGGATGTGGTTTACAGCGTTACGACTGCTGACATGGAATATAACTACATTTAAATAAGAACTTTACTCTGTAAAGTGATAATCTATCGTCTGTACAACCATGGACATGTTAACTCAGTTTTCTTTGCAGTAAATTCATCGACCAGATTTATGCCCGTTTAAATTCAATGTGGCATTGTGGATCTGAGTAAACCTAACGAAGCCAATTTCACATCTCCGCCGTCTGCGAATTTTGACAGGCTTTTCGCCGACAAATAAAATATTCTGAGTCAGGAGCTCCTGTCTGAGTAAAATTTCACTGCTAAAGAAAGCTAAAAGCCGCGCTAATATTGTAAGCTGACAAAATTCACCTGCTTTTGAGTTCATTCAAAGAAGGTTTTGCTAAACAAGAAAAGTTATGTACATTAGCGGACATCTGTAATTGTACCTACGTTTGTGTCGCTGAGTTATCGGGAGGGCGAGATTATTCTCCTATACCACAACTAAAATCTCACCTCGGCGTTTCCGACTTCTATCTAGCTTTCTTCTCTAGCCTTTATCGGCAGCATGAATTTGGAAATATCCCACGGCAGCTATCGAAATATACCAGCCCAAACAAAGGGGCGTTTTAACCTTTTAAAAAAGGGAAATTTCCCAATATTTTTAGGGGGCTCCCCTACTTAGCTTTCAGAAACTGAAAGCGGAAATCTTCGTCACGAAAGCGTAACGCTATTTTACAAAACAATTCAAATAGTACACGCGCTCTGATTGGCCATAAAACCATTTTACATGAGCGTATGTAAACATGGTTTTCGTTCCTCTTTCATTAGTTATTTTATAATAACACGCTCGAGAACACTCGATAAGCTGGAAACCACTCCGCTTCGCGTTGTGGTTTCCTACGCTTCTCTCGTGTTCTCCCAACCTCCCGCGTGTTTACATCAGGCTATGTAAACACGGAAACCATTCTACATTTCTTCAATTGATCTCACTCCATTTTGCCCGCAAATGTATATTGTGAAAAGATGTTTTAATTTTACTGTATGGTTTGCTTTATTGATATCAGGTATGCACGTAACTAAAAATAAATACAAATTGACTGATTGTTGGAGTTTCAAAAATGAAGTCGAACGCTTAAAATTGAAATCAGGACTAGAGCGGAAATCTTGACGTCAATTTTGTGCATTGTTGTAATAAAGGGGGGAGGTCAGGGGTAGAGGTCTGGAGAAATCCCGGATAAAACTTTGGGAGGGGGAGAAACGGAGGGGGGATCCGTCGTCGATAACAGAGTATAGTTACATTGAAATATGGTACACATTTGAGAAATTTAAGCTTCAAGCTTGCTGATTTTCTTCCCTTAAACTATACTCAAAATTATTGAATAGGAGAAAGGTGAGGTACATAATCTATTGATACAGACCTTAACTCCCTGAACCCATCATAGCCTGGATAAGCATTTTGTCTTTCCAATTAAAAATTACATAGAGAGGGATTTCTATCATGCATAAAAATGGAGAGCAAATAATCTGATTGTTTAAGTTTATCTACTGTTCAATCAAAATACAAACAAGAAGGGCTCATGTTTGTGTCAGTTATTTTGTTTATCACAGAATAGATACTGTAGCAAGTAGCATAACTAGTCAGATTACAGCTGCATTTATGGTAGAATACTGATTCTGCTTACATCCTGTACCTATTTGGCTAATATGCAGTTGAAACTCTTTATTTATCTGTGAATGTCTATTTATGCTGGGTACTCTGTGGAGTCTTCTTACAGCTGGCTGTAACCTTGCAACAAGCATTTCTCCCATGTTAACAGCATTTCTTACTTTAAACTTTGGTTGGTCAGCAGCACTCGTTACTCCTGGAGTCAGTACTGCCGCAATGTCTGTTTTAGCTTACTACCTTATTTGTGATTCTCCATCAGAAATAGGACTGGAGGAATTTACCCAAAGAACTACTATGAAATCAAGAACTGAAAACAAAACAGTAGAGAGCAGGAAGGACTACATTATTACAATGCTTCACAGTCCATTTTTGTGGGTTTTAAGTGCAGGATATCTACTGACTTTGTTTGTGAAGATTGGAGTTGGTGAATGGACACAACTTTTTCTAACACAGACAATTGGAAGAACACAATATGACAGTGAGTATTAATTGTTCTACATGTTTTGGATTGAATCACCTATTTTTTAAATAACTCTTTAACCTCGAAGAATGACTAATTTCTCCTTACAGTATCACCCATGAATCAAATGAAAAGGTCATAAGAATAATGGAAATGATCTCCAATTTGGGAAGCTCTTGATTGTCAACCAAATTCTCCTTGTCATTACCAGATGAAATGTAAAGAGAACAATGAGAAGATTTGAATGTTAACAATAAGGGTTAATAACGTGGTCAAAATTGCGAGAAATTCATGAAATTTTTTTGCAATAAATCAGTCACATTTACATATTATTTTAAACTGAGTAAGAACTCAAAGAGATGAAAGAAAGCCAAAAAAGGGTATACTAAACAATATGTTTCTATATATTATGATATAAATTTATATTATAATTAGTATATCATACAGTGGTCTTGCTTATTTTTGGTCACGACAGGTGACCTAGGAATTCCTAGGAATTCTCAAAAATTCCCAACTATGCAAATTAACTCTGATTTAAAAAGCTTGGAATTACTGGGAATTTCTGGGAAAGGAAGACTCCAGTTTTGTGAGGACTTGGAATTCCTAGGAATTCCTAGGAATTCACAGCTATACAAACTACCTATAATTTAAGAAGGGTGGAATTCTTGGGAATTTCTGGGAATTGAATTTGAGGCAATTTAAATACCCTGAGGTCCACATAAATTCTAAGAAATTCTCAATACCTTGAATGTGAAGGTTTTAAGAAAAGGAGTAATTTCAGAGGCTTAAAACTGTGGCTCAATAAAAAGGTATGTTATACAAAACTTACCAAGAGATATACATACATTTATTAATCAAACTAAGTTTTAGTAAATCTCTACATTAATATGGATTTTCTCATGAACCAGCAGTCAATTATGTTAAATGGAAATTGCCAATTAATCCAATGTACTCATATCACAGATTTGCTTTCTAACTTCAAAGGACTCTTGGATTCCATGATCATAAAATATTTTTGTTGTGATGCAAATTAATGTCTCATGTTCACTGATGTGCCAAAATCATCAAACATTCATTAGCTGTTCCTTGGTACACAACTTCCACAATAATTAACAATAATTACATTGTTATCTACTCTTAAAGAACTTTGTTAGTTATGAACATAAGTTACTTCCCTAACCTACATTACTGGTTGCCTTTGTTAGAAAACCTTGGAACAGTCAAGCTCAGTTGCCTCAAACACTGTTAGAGACTTTTTAGTAGAAATTTCATGCCTTAGACAAACAAATTCAACACCCAACTTTTTTTCTTTTTTCATGATTGTTGTTGCTGGTTTTTTTTTTTCAGTTTTGTGCTCTGTTTTCGTGACTTATTGCTGTAATTTGTTCTGCTGTTTTTATTCTTGCAAAACATTTTTGTAAGAGTTCCAATACTAGTGGATCATCCACACACTTTGCAAACATTTGGCATGCAGACAAGACAGAGGTAGTCAATGTTCCCTTTGAGAAAAAAACACCTTTTAAATGACGTCTTCAATTTACTTTATTTGAAACTCTGATCTGAAAATATTTGTCAACAAGACTTGTTAGTAGTGAGAAGTACAAACCAAGTTTCCTTTCATAACTTAATTTCTTAAATGTCTCAATCACTGGATCTCCCCAAAAATATTACATCTTTTTATTTTTGGTGCAAAATACAAGTCCTTCTTTATATACAAATGAAAAGTGAAAGTCACACTTCAATAATAACAGCTCTAAAGTTTACTTGTTGTTCTTCTCTGTCTGTCAGCTATCAACAAAATCGTTTTATACTTCGGACAGTGCATAACTATTTGTGGACTAGAGTTCCAACGCACCTCTGTAATCGCATATAGTTACTTCTGTCTCTTGAACAAATGTTTCTCCTTTGTAAGACGCGCTCTACTCTGTTGTCACCACTGCTTTAGGTTCAGTGGAAACGACTGACTGAAGGAATCGAGATGGCGGTGTTGGTACGTGTTGCTGAACGCTTGCTACGGTCAAGCTTTGTAGATTTAGGTACTGGTACACTGGGATCATCTATGGATCTCTTATACTTCCTAATGTGATATCCTTCTTTTATAAATATGAGGGTAAAAGACGATTTGTAGTCGCATTCAAAACTGTGATTGGCTTGTGTTATTTCTCACCTTTGCCATGAACACAACTCAAGTGAGTTTCGAGTCTTTGTTTCCTCGACAACTTTCGGTCACAAATCGTGCATTTGTAGTACGATCGATTCTTGTCGATTATTTCTACATAGAGTGAGCTCACATCATTATTTATATCACCAAGGTATCCATTGTCTAGAAACAGAGAACCGGTCGGAGAAGTCAGAATAAAGTTGTGCGCTTCTCTTAACACTACAATCGGCAAGCCAGCGGATTCACTTTGCTAGCCAATGACAAGTCCTAAAAGATCCACGTGATCATGCCCGTGATCGGAAACAAAGAAGACTCCATTTGGCGCTCATCTTTGAATGTACTTTTCATCGGTTGATCGCTTTGCTCAACTGTTTTGCTTCATATAACATTTCTAAAGATAGCCTTTATTGTGGTTCAATGGGAAAACGAGAACAGCGTGAGTGTTGTAAAAGAAAAGAAAGCTGTTGGCGCCGTGGAGTTAAAAGAAGGGACAACAGTTGACATATTGACTGGTACGAACAAGGGTCGAGTGGCCATCTGTAAAGCTGCGATTTTGAAAGTTTGTGGTGAGTAAAACATTACGATATTCGTTGCGTGATCAAAATCTTATAAAAGAATAGATGTAACGGGTTGAATTAAGCTTACATAACGCTCGGTGCAACTGAAACTAGAATAATTCTGAGAATCGAATCGGTCACTTGCATGCCGCAGTTTCTTAAGCTTATGCTTTACAATGAAATAAATCTATCAGTAAGGTTTCAAGATTCCTTTAGTCACGTTTGGGAACATTCAAGATTCATAATAGGAACTGTTATTAAACAAACCGTATTACATAAAGAAACCCTCCTTGGTAAAAACAAAACTATGTATTCAACTCTTTTTTAGTAAAATCTATGAGAGAGATGTACTAACTCCAATATAAAAGTCACTCAATATAACAGAGATTTCTTAATTTGAGAATCCAATGAATGCCCTTTTCCTTAGAACCATCTTAAAGGCCTGGTCTGAGCTTTAAATATATATATATATCATTAGCCTCAAATTTTTGCTTAAAATTCCCAGTAATTCTTAAACATTCCTAAAAATTCCTGAAAATTCCCAGAAATTCTTAGGAATTTTTTAGATTTACAGCTTTTCCGGGAAAGTCATTGGTTCTCTTAGTTGGAATTCCTAGGAATTCCAAGTCCTGTTGGCTATAAACTTGGAATTTCTGGGAATTCCCAGTCCGAATTTACCATGAAAATTCACACCTTTATTCCTAGGAAAATCCCAGGAATTCCTAGGAATTCCTAAATCCATTTCGCAAGGGTAATTTAAGGTAGACTCTTTGGAAGCATAACATCTGGTTATATAATGGACAAGTTGGTGCTTAAGGTTGGACATTAGCTCTCACTAATTGATCTTTGTCCCACAGCCTTATTGATGTACTGCAAAATAAGGAAACTGTTTTTTCTGTTGGGCCTGGTCAAACACTTGAATTAAATTTTGGCACAGACTGTTGGTTATTCATGTAACTGAGAAAAACAAAAACAAAAACAAAAAACGTGATTTTGGTAAAAAACTTTTCAAGAACTTACTTGTAAGTCAGAGTTATTCTTCTTTTTATTTTTATTTACTGTCAAAAAAATTCATGGAACCAAATTATGTCCAAGGGCTGTGTGCATCAATTGGTCTTCTGAAGTGTTCTGAAGGTGAAAATCTGAATTAAAAAAAAAAAGAAAATAATGAATCATGTTTTGTATCATTATTTTCTAAGTTTAACTTTGATGTAGGCCTTCTGTCAATGCATGGAAAAACTGGAATCATATGGATCAGGGGTAATATGGTGTTCACTGCACCCACAGTTATTAACATTAGCACAATATGCTGAATTTCTAAAACATGTTGAAATAGGGTTCAAAAGTGAGCTTTCTGTTAGAAGATGCAATCTGAAGATACTTTAGTCAATGTTTTTCCTCATCACTCATGTCTAGTTCAATATGCTTTTCATTACAGGTTCAGCATGCAAGCTAATTTTATGTGTAAGACAATTTATGCAGCTTAATTTAAAACTAAGAGATATTTTAATTTATCACTTAATGTTAAGTTTTTCTAATCAGTTCACCACTTGATAATTATGTTATGTGTCTGTTTGTAACAGTATGGAACCTCCACACTCTCCAGTCCAAGTGTTCCTCCTATGATTGGCTTTGCATTCTTACAGTTAGCCTGTGTGTATGTCTTACACACAGCAGTAACATCATCTACCTCACTGGTATGGAGGCATATTATGATAACTGCTACAACTGCTAATGCTTATATTTTACTCTTAATCCTTTCAATCCTTGGATTGACTGAGAAGTAATTTCTCCCAACAGTATTGATACTATATCAAGCAGGAAGGTTATGAGAATAAAGAAAAATAGCAACTGCAGCAGTATTTGTAGCAACTGAGACAATATAATTTAACAATGAATTTGCCTATAACCAATATGAGGAGAAATGCACCATAAGCAGTGAAGAGAAGTACCAGCAAGATCTTTAATAGTACACTGTAGAGTGAAAGGGTTTGAAGTAAACAGAAGTTGTTAACATTTATACTCATCATTACAACAATGTATTAGCAGTTGATACAGATTGTACAGTAGATGCAACCTTGATAAATTTTGCTTATAACAAAACTGTTGATAATTATATTATAGATGGACTCTTCATGCTCTCAAAAACTCCACTGAGTTTTCATGATGTCTTTTAACTTACCTTCTATAGTCTCCATTTAGTAAAGTGTGTGAGAGTGTTGGTACTTCTGCTATTTAAACTGCCATTCCATTCAAATTTAAATTAATATTTAAGAATGTCTCTAGGTACTTTAAACAGAAAGAGGCAACTTATCAGGTAGAACACATTATCTTGACCTAGCACCAAATTGTTATAACTTACCATAATTTACAAGGAAATGTGTAGCAGCTAAATGGAAGAATTAACCATCAGATCTTGGAAGTTTAAGGCAAAGTCATGAAGTATCAGCACTCACTTAATTTGCTCTCATTCTGTTGCAGTGGTTTATTTCAACACTGATATTTGGCATAGGCTTCTCATTATACACAGCAATAAATCTGTATGGAGTGCTGGCCATGGAGAACAGTCCACCAGGACTCAATGGAACATTTCATGCAATTGTTGCTTTAGCTGCAAATGGTGAGCAATGGCATTGTTACTCCAAGTCTTGTGCATGGGCAGTTTGCAGGATTCATGTTTAAACAGTATTTTTTAACTTAATCTTTTAACCCTTTGCCCCCTAAGAGTGATTAGCATCTAACTTCTCCTTACAATATCACCCTTGAATCAAACATTAAGGTCATGAGAATAAAGAAAATGGTAACCAACTAACAAAAAAAGCTCTTGGTTCCTAACCCTGTAACTCCCATGAGTGACCAAAACAGAATTTCTCCTTACAATATCAAAACAATGGCAAGCAAACAAGAGAGGAGAATAAAGATAAATATCAATTACTAAGGGATTACTTATTGATTGAGCACCAAATTCTCCACACTAACACTAAAAACATTGTATAATGGACAGTGATGAGAATTGCTAAGAAATGCAGTTTTGATAGTGAAACAGTTAAATAAATTCCTTGCCAGCACCCTTGGTGAACAGTATGGAGAATATGCATACTGATGTAAGTGAGTAAAGGGTTAATGTGCAAGCTTAATATGCAAACTCACCAACTGTTACTCATCTTCTGTGTTTCCCAAGTTTCTAGTGTGAAACATTACTGATCTTACCCATGCTAAAAACTTTCTCACACCTGCATTGTGAGTCCACATTACTAGCTAAAACCAAATACCACAATCGTGTCCTTCTACATGTACTGAATCAAAAGCCACTTGCCAAAAAAGCAAGGAACTCTATCCCACTGTCGGCAAATTTTTAAAAAAAACATTTTCCCCCTTTTTTTCCCCTATTCTTGAGTGGAATTACATAAAATTGCCAAAGCTCAAATTCAAAGTTTGTGCTTTAAAATTCTTCTTACATTTTTCATTTTTTTAATTAGTGGGAGCAACACTGCCGGGAATTCCTCTGACGACAATCAGGGAGGTGTCTTTGTTTGTCTTGAGCTGGCATCTTTGTTCTGTGGCTGTTTGCTGATTGGAGCACGTAATGTCAACAGGCATATGATTGAACCTTCAAAGCTCCAGTAAAAGCTTTAAGGGGCACCTCCTGGATATTGTTATCTACCTGAATAATTTCCTACTGCTGTATGGCTAATTATTTTTGTGAAACTTATCTTGTGATTAGCAATTTACTGTATGGAACCTCCACACTTGCTAGTCCAAGTGTTCCTCATATGATTGGCTTTGCATTCTTACAGTTAGCCTGTGTGTATCTCTTACACACAGCAGTGACATCATCTACTTCACTGCTATGGATGCATTCCTTGGCCTGTTCCAGGCATTCTTGCAGTACACAGAGCATGATAGCCACTCAGAAGGGAAATAGCTGGAGACTCAATCAGGGTGGGTTTATGGGTGCTTAAGGTTACTTCGCACCTTCATGGGTGTCCTTCAGGAAAAAATTCATAAGCATGCTAGTTTAAGATTATCATACCAAGGTGTGTACCTGTTTGTCCTCTCAAACACTTCTGTAAAATTGATTTAACTTGACTGTTATCAGTTAATGGAAATTTCCTAAGTTGACCAAAAAAATGTTTTGCTCAGTTAAGTTAACCTTAAATGTTCCCTGTCAGTCAAATATGGTAAGTTATGTGTTCAAGAATATATTAAAATATACTTTTAAAAGGAGTATGAAAAATTTACTAGTATTAAGAAGAAAGTAATTGTAAGGTTAAAATTTTCACTCAAGTTATTTCATAAGTTGTATAAAATTATTTTACTAAGATATTTATTACAATAAACAATTATTCATTACAGTGGAGGTGAATACTGGTGGATACATACCACACCACAAAGTGGTGAGATAAATATCCACTTTCACCAACACAGAGGTGAATAATTGTTTTTAGACTAAGTGTATACCACACATATACCAAAAATTAGTGTATTTCTCCAGTATACCAAAAAATGGTTGGAAATTTAACTCTTGATGTGCAATTTTGTCTCATTGGCTACTCAGAGGTGTGTGGTAATTGCTGTTAACTTCCAAACTAGTCAATTAGCAGTTAAGAAAAACACTTTTTACTTAAAGTTATTGAATTTAATGTTTTCCCATCCAAACAATGTATATTATAATGTGCTTGTGCAAATGTCAAATTAAAAACTGTTACAACTTAATACAAACGTTTAGTAATACATTGTAAGAACCTCTCTAAGATCTTAGGAATGACTTATTTGCTCACATCAAATGTAGCAAGCATTTCCCAAGTACTGTGAAAGCCTGAAAGTCACCTTTTCCTTTGTCCCCATAATTTAACTTAACTCTTCAACTCCCAAGATCTGATTATCAATTCTCCTTTATAGCTGTAACACATTTCATAGTAAATTAGCTGAGAGAATTTGGTGCTAGATCAAGGTACATCTAAATGTACCTGATAAGTTTGATTTTTCTCATCACCTGTTTATTGGATAATGAATGGATATAATAGGGAGAAATTTGGTGTTAATCAGTTCTAGGAGTCAAAGGGTTAAGGTTACACAAGAGCTGACTGAGAAAAAAAGTAATAAAAAATAAAAACCCAATGCTTGGTGGCACATTCCTCATGTTGTTCTGGAAGAGTAAGTGTCTCTCAATTTTTGCTCTGACAAAGGGCTGGCTAGCACTTGAAACATCTTTAGAAACTCTTCATGGTGGCCAATTTGCAACCTGGTATCAACAGGTACTGACAATACTGGTGGGAAAGTGCTAGAAACTCATTATGGTGGCCATTTTACAACTTCACTTAAGCTGATAAAACCAAATTATCCTGTAATACCCCTCAGCAATGTTACGCCACAATTTCTTTTAGAACTTCTTACTGTCATTCTTTTGTTTAAAACATAATTGGCAACCTTGCAAGTGTACACTTAATATGCGTCTCTCAGTAGCATGTATGTTGTTGAATGGTGCATCGATAGACAAAGCCAAAGGCATTGAATCCAAAAATTACATTCTTTAATAATGGAAACAAGATTAACATAGAGTGATAAATGCAAGAACTTGAACAACTTATTCACAGTTTAATACATTAGAGATATTCATAAAATTTGGATAATCTGTTCCATCTTTATGGACCAGCACTGAGCTGTTGTTTTCTTAACACTTTTCACCATTCCAGCAGTCCTGTTCTGAACATCAATACAACAGCAGTTTGTCCCACTGACATACTTCAATCATCATCTCATTCCCTTAGAAATATTTGGTGGTGTGCTTGAAAGAGTACCTTCAGCTCTACAGATTAGCATTCTCCTCCCCAAAGGACACAAAAGAATTAAGCTGCAGACTCCATAGAACTTGTTTGCTTTCTTCTCTTCCCATAGCCTTTAATGTACAATTTTAGACACAGATCTTATAACACATTGGTACACAAAAAAAAGGGTTCTTTGAGTGATTCAGAATTCATCCATAATTTTTTATACATTCGTCCATTTGTAAACACTTAATTTCTGCTCATCAATTGTAGCCAGATAGTCATTTCCATTGCCAGCAAAGGGAAGAACATCTAATATCTCTTTTCCTTGGTTGGGTAGTTTCTGCAGCTGGTTTCCATTGCTGCCATTCCATATCAAAGTCTAGGGAATAAAAAAACAAGTAAACATTTTGCACACTAAGTTGGTGTTCATCCACATAACCAGACAAAAGGTAAACATTTTCTCAATGCTGGGTACATATACCTGCTTGAGAATGTCTTTTGGATAGAATGTTTAATCTTATGACTGAGAGGTATGTCGCTGTTAAGATCATGACATGTACATACTTCTGTTCTCTTAGCATAATGACACAAATTCTTACATATTTTAGAACATTTTTGCATGAAGATAATAGTAAATAATTTTGGTTACACATGTAGTTTTTTCAAGACTTTTCTTAGCATACATGTAGCTCTTTCACTTTCAGAAGTGGCCAAAAAATACTTAAATTACCAAGACAGCAAGCAGGTAATCAGAATTAAAAAAAAAACTATCAAGCTTATGATATCAAACAATAAAGAACTTCCATTGTAAGAAGCTGTTGATACATGTGGGGAAAGAGGGTAATTCTTGAGATCTTAAATGTGAAAGGGTTAAATTTATCATCACTCTTGGCTACCCCTGATGTGTTCAAGCTTCAAGTGCAACACTGCAGATATCATTTACTGCACAGGAACATAATAAAACTGCTATACACCAAAGCTTGAGGAAAACTCACCGATGAGAGGCTCTCATCACCAGCTGCCACCATCAGAGTGTTGCAATCATCAGGACAAGTGAATAACCTGGATTTGCTGAGAAGCTTTTGTGTTGGGCCGCCAACACATTGATTGACAGCTTGACAGGTACAGAGGCTGGCATCTGAAAATAACATGATTGTATAACACAAGAGTTTGTAATTATTGCCAAGCCAAATACATGTACAGGATCATTCAACCTGCACTGCTGCTTAGTTGTACCAGCATACAGTACAAAAGTACAAACAAAATTGAATGTTAGGGTATGAAAGGAACAGTGAGCACTATTCCTCTTTTCATATCTGTACCCTCTCAATCCATACCATCAACTCATCTGATTCCACACCAACAGCTGTAGCACTACTTAAAACCAAACCAAGTAAATTCTTTGTTTTTATCAGACATCCTTCCCTGAATGCCCTTGAACAATGATGTTTATCATCAATAACTACCAGTACCAGTAAGTGTTCATGTTTTCCACACAGCCACAATGTACATACCATCCTCACCATCCTCCATATTCCCTGCTCTTTCTGCTTGAGCTCGGGCCATTGATACACCCACACCTTTACCTTGCAACTGACAAACCTATGTGTGTTGTACCATACAGTGTATATAATATTAACAATAATTATTCCAATTGTATACAGTTGTTAACTTAGCCTAAATCACAAAATCCCCTTGTGACTTGCTTTTGAGAATCTGGTTTCATGTCAAGACACATGCAACACCATCCCACTGTATGTCATTCCTTCCAGCTAGATTCATTGAAATTATAAGATAATTCATGATAGTCACTTCTAAGAGGCAAAGGCTTTCAGATCAAGCCTAGTACATTTACAGTAAACTGTATTTTTAATTAAATTAGCATAAATTAAATTATGTTATCCCTACATCTACAGGTACATAAAATTTTAATTTCCCAGCAAAAAAATGTTGGGGTGGGGGTGGGGGTGTGCGTATTACAAGATAATTTTGTTTTAACAACTGAGTTCACATTGTAAATTGGCCACCTAAAGAGTTTCTTGCATTTTCCTCAACAGTTTTGAGACACTTCACCAACAAAGACTCTTATTTTATCTCACTGGCTAAACTTTTATCCAGCTCAGATTAAACATAATTACATCATAGTTTAACCTTGAGATTAAGTAAAAAATTAACATGTGGTAAACATTCATTTGAAAAATGAACTGCACAAGATAAGAAAATCCTACCAAATGTCTTGTTTGAGGGAATTTCTTGGAGGGGCGAAGTGAAAACAGACAATGACGAGTTGATGGCTCAAAGGATAAACTGGTGCAAGACCCTAAACAGTATGAGACAAAAAGGAATTTAAGCCATGATGATGTGTTATTAATGGTACGGGTATGAGTGTGTCATAAACTAAGTGCAAATAAGGTCTGGCTTGATGTGTTTGTTGTAAAGAGAACTCACACCATGTACATGTTAACCACCTACAGGAATTAAGGGCCAAAACCATGAGTCATTTTTAAAACAAGTTTTAACTGCCCACACATGTGAACACTGTACATAACACATATCCTTCACAAAGGTGATGGCATTTTCATCCTGGGATTGGTTTTGTTAGAATATGGTCAACTCACAAAGTGATACAGTGTAACTGTGCTGATCGATACCCCCCCCCCCCACAAGAAAATTTCAGAAATTCACATTCAACTTTTTCCCTAAGTAAAGACGATTAAGCAAATAACACGACAGTTTTCCCGTTTACAGATCTGTCATTTTCTCTAATACAGTCAAGTACCTTCAGGAAGAGTTAGGCAATGGGGGACAAAATCAGCTCCAGGTGTTTTTTCCCAGAAAGAAGCTCCTTCAAGTTTGCAAACAAGAATTCCTCCAGGTCTGCAAAAAAAAAAAAAAAAAAAAAAAAATGGCAAAAGAGTATCCCCAAGTAAATTGAAGTGTCCATTCAACCCCTCTCTTTAAGTAATTATGCATTTCCCTTCTACATTAGTTATATGCATGGTTTGCAACTAATGCCCCAGAATTGTGCAAAAGTTTTGAAACAAATATGTGTATTTTGATTCTTTCTCTCCTGCATGCATACATGTGTTTTTTTTTCTTTTCATGTGGATGCAGTTGCTCAGGGAATTTGTCTTTCATTTGGCATTCACCTAATACAGTGTTTGACGCCCATAACATTAAAACTGTGTGGAACAGCTACAAGTTAATCACTATTAATAATAAAGGAGGTAAGTTTCTAACTAAACCGCGGTGCTGCATCAGTGGGGGATTATAACAAGATAATTTTGGTTTTACCAACTGAGATGATCATGTGCATTGGCCACTGTAAAGAGTTTCAAAGCTGACATTCCTAGTAGTTTTGACTTTAAAGTTATTATTATGTGCAGCCTGCTCTCACTTGACTTGGATTAGTAGTTGTTTGTTCATTCTACTGTACATACAAGTAAAAAAAAAACCTTTGTCACAAGGTAGTCTAACATTCACCAATTATTATTATTTTTTATCACCAGATGATACAAAAAGAAAGCTTCCAAAATGTTACAACCAATTACTATACAACATAAGGCAAAACACATGTTTCTCTCCTACAAGTGTTCCACTGACAATACAAGCACATCCTTACAATACGCACTTTAAGACAAGTGCCTATTTGCAAACAAATAAATTTAAGGCCTTGAGCCAAACTAGTCAGCCACACCCCTAGCACACCTTGCTCTATCTCTTCTCAAATCTTCCAACAGGCAGAGAAACACTTATTCTGCAGAGCCAACATTGAAGCCTGCTTGCAAACTCAACCACTCAACACCCCACTCAACAGAATTAATGAACAACTACTGCAGTAACAATAATCAATTCTTTGTTGCCTTGAGTCAATTTGATGCAATAAAATGCAGCTCTTTCTTGAATTTCCTTTCACACTCACTCAAGAAAAGTACATGTACTTCTATCTACTTGAAAAAATTACACTGTTAATAGTTTTTAACCCTTCACTCCAAGATCTTATGGGTAATTCTCCTTACTGTCTGTCATACAGTTCCTATGGTGTTAGCTCTAGGAATTTGGTGTTGGATCAACTAATAATCCCCTAATTTACATTTGTCCTTATTCTCATTACCTGTGCACTTAATATTGTATGGCTATTGTGAGGAGAAATTCTGTCTTGGTCATCCATGTGAGTTAAAGGGTAAAGGAGAAACTACCAAATGTATTTTGACATGATCTCACCTCAGGGCACTGTGAGGGTCTGATGACACATGAGCCAAGGCAATGACAGGACAGGAACCCCCTGTTGTATTCTGAATACTCTTCAGGTAAGTTTCAGTGTTTCTTATGTCGAAAATAAGACAAGTGCCATTCTGTAGCCCGCAGTAGATGTAATTGGTGTCATCTTCATTCCAAGCACATGACCAAACAGGAACTGGTGTATTGTAACTATGATTCAAAACACAATAATTTGCTAACACTTAAACCAAAGAGAACTGTGGGTGAGGAAAAATGTCCAGTAAAATTACACTCAATACAATGCTGGCCTCAGACCATACATGATACATGTACCTGCAGTTGGTTCAGGCCTTGTCCTCATTGACTAAAACACATTACTTTGTATATGACGAGTTGAATCATGCATACATTTATTGGTGCTTACTATTGATCTATTGGAGGACAGACACATAGATGACATCACCATTGACGACATTTTGCTTTTTATCAAATAAAACAAATAGATTCTTTATTTCTGTAGGTCTTTTCAAGTCATGGATAAACAACATCAGTGACACAATCAGCTGAGCCTCATGTGCCACTTTTTGTTTTTATCTCATTTTGACATGATCTGTGATCTATTACATGACAGACACATGGCAGCATGGAACCTACATGTACTTGTTACATAAAAAATTGCACTAAGTACTAATTCTTTTTTCTCTTAATACTCTTTACTCCACTCACGTCTGTACAACAGCATTGCTCAGCATACTGGTGACCCTGACAGTCTTGTCCATGCTTGCTGTCAACAATAAACCATCACCTCTGTTGTTAAATGCCACATCACGGACGGCCTTCTGGTGAATGCGCACAAACTCACAATGCTTTGAATCTAAAGAGCTCACCTAAATTTGCACAAACATATTAAAGAAAAATTTATAAAACAAGTACATAAACATGTTCTGGAAAGGTGAGACGGTGAGACCGTTGGCTATAAGTCACCTTGGATTTAATGCATAGACTTTTCATTTCAAGTCTTACAGTTTCTACTGAATGTAAAAAGATTGCATAGCATAATAATTAATAATAATTATTAATCAACTCAAGTGAAGTTTACAAATCATAAATCCAGGAGAAAAGAACAAGATTCTAAAAATCACAGTAAAGACTAAGGAATTGAGGTTATTAAGAAAAGATATTTACTTTACCTTACCTTACCTACAACATACAAGGAGAAGATTTCAATTCAAACAAGCCTTTGAATTAGCAGGCCATACAGTAAAATATGAGATAGCATAAAATTAAATACTGTTAGTAATAATTACAGAGTTTTTACAAACCTTTACCACACCAAATCCAGGAAAGAGCTGATTTGGTGAAGGCTTGGACACAACTAGTACAGCATGGTGTTGATCAAAAGAAATCACTCTTGCTCCATTCTGGCTAAAAAAAAGTTAGAGGAAATGACAGTATTACTCTTACTAATAAGTCAAACATTGGCCAAATAATACAAATTCTTTGCTCTGATGGTGCAGCAGACAGAAAAGTAAAGTTACATCTATCTCTCAGGTTCCGACATTTTCTGGCCAAGAGATCCATCAAGATCATTGATCACTTCACATACACCTCTGCTAATGTCATGTACTATATAACTTGCACTTAATTATTGCAAAAAGTTATACATTGGTGAAATGAGAAGATGACTTGGTGACCAATTCCAAAAACACCCTTGCGATGTAGAGAGAAATGACAAGGATGCATCCAAACCAGTCGCTAGACACTTTAATTTCCCTGATCATTCTAAGCAGCATATGGCCTTTTGCTAGATCTAGGCAGTTCGGAAAGCCTCAAAACTCTAGAACAAAAATTTATCTTTCATATTAGCACTCTTAATCCCCATGGTATCAATGAGCACTTTTCATTTAACTAATTTATTCTTGTTTCTGTCACCATATTCCCACCAATAACGTCACTCCGTTTTCTGCATATAAACCTACACACAACTCACAATTCCTCCAATTGCTCTTATGAAGGGCTAACACTCCAAACGAGTCTATTACTGTATTCACATGTAGAAGTGGCACATACATGTAAGTGTAATTCAAGCTGTACCTGTGAAACTTGAAAAGACGTTTGTAGAACATGATTTCCTTAATAGTAAGCTCCAACTAGAGGTGCTTTGCCCAAATGTTCTTACAGCTGTTGATGCCCCCTGAGATTCTGAGCTGCACTGAGAGCATGAGCTGGACCTTAAGATTTAATAAAAGACTGTACCTTTAACCTTCAAGAGTGACTAGCACTTAATTTCTCCTTACCATATCACCCCTGACAACTAAACACTGGTTTTCAGTTGCAACAGAGTCTGGGTTGATATCAGAGGTGCAGAGCAATATGATCAGGTGAAAACTTTGTTTTGATTACAGTAAGTCAATTGCAAAATTGCAAATTGCAATAAAGTTCAGGACTTATGAACAAACCTTGTACCACACCAAACTAATTACCATTGCTGCCTGCAGTTTACTTTTCATTCTGACACCTGATTGGCTTATTCAAGAAACATATTTGTCATTTCAATTTTCTTCAGTTTACACAAACTGAATAAAAAGCAGCACCAGGAACAAAAACATGACCTGCTTTTTGGGTTCATGATTTGAAACAAAAGTACAGTACCAACATGGAAATAAAAGTTAACAGACTGAGAAAAAGACCACTATTTTGCGATAAGGCTTTGAGTGTGCAATAAGAGGAAGGTGACTGTGGTTGATCTTAATGTACAACGTCATGTATTCTAACAGGGTCCTCACAGCACTGCCACCAGATCACTAAATCAGAATCAGGGCTCTTCTTTGATAGGAAGCGCTCTTTTGAGTTAGGTTAGTTTTATATGCAATAGGGACACTTATTGAAATAGGGATGCTCACTAACAAAAACAGATTTGAGGGCAGGCACTTATTAGAGGGGGTATTTATTGGAACAAGGGTACTAGATCAAATCATCATTTATCCTAAGATTAAGGATACGATTCATGCATTATGCAAAAATATACTGCCTAAAACTTTGAGATACACAGTCATGCACTATGCACCTATGTCTTCTCCAGCAATTACCTCGCCAATTGGTATTACAGCAATACACAAGCCTCTCTCTCTTCTGCCTTCTGTCGAGCTTCCTTCTCCTTCTCCAGATCTGTCAGTGCCCTGTCACGTTCTGTTGTATTGGTAGCCTTGATGGCTTTTGTGTAAAAATATTATTCTTATGTCTCTTTTTCTTACAGGTGCATTGCACTGTGGACATTTATCATTTCCTCCCTTGGCTTTTGACCATCTTTCAATGTAGCTTTCAGGAAAAAAAAAAAAAAAATATATATATATATATATTTTTTTTTTTTAGTTTATCATGAAAATCCTAAAACCATTCACTTGGGATCAATTAGAATCCATTTTCACCACTTTCTTAGATATAGTCCAGATTCACAAAAGGAGGAGACTCAGCTAGAGCTCAATGTCTCAACAGCAGATAGTACTTGAGCCTTTCAGTTAAAAGAACTCCATGTGATCAAAACATTTACCTTCTTCCAAAGAGATGCCCACAAGTGAGAGATGATAGCCTGTGAGAACCTGAGTTTGACCATGGCGTCAAAACAAATTGGAAAACTTTGGGACTAAAAGACAAGAGAGAAAAATTACCATTAAGTAGTAAATATGATGTCACACACACTTGAGTTAGCCATCATGTCAGAAAAAGACAGACCAGCCAAGGTAAAAGCTACTGCATTTAAAAATTAATAGTTTAAAAATAGTTTACAGTCGGATGAAATTTTTTCAAAGAGTTCATGTAAAAACCAGCTTTTTACCAAAATCTATAGCCATCACAGATCGGCAGCGCAGACTAACATCCACCCCCCTTGTCCTGAATTCAGATTTTCTAATCTAAGTTGTGAACATGGATATAGTCAGCTAGCAACGTTGATAAGAAGGGAGGGGATCGTTTTCGCGAGATCAACAACATGCCAATGACTATCCCGTTAAGCAAAATGTCTGCTATAATTTTGCTATTTGGTTAAAGCTCAGACTCAGCAAACTTGCATCATCATCTTTTTCGGGTGATTTAACCGGTGACCTAGTATTTTTATCTTTTGCAGTTTTTAGCGGTTGTTTTCGAGGACTTCATTTGAAACTCGTCTGAGGAATTCACTGCTAACACTCCAAGAACTTGTACATTTCTAGCGACCGCCGGCATCACATTTTGAATCGACGACTGCATCTGGCGCTTTATTTTCTCACTTGATTCCTGAACGCGTTCGTTTTTTTGTTCACCCTCACACCTTCAGTGTCTATGCACTTCCATGCACTTCCATCTCTTGATCTCGACGTTCTCATTTTCGCGATCATTTCGATCATTCTTCAAAAACTTCAAGGTCATCAGTAGCAGGATTTGAAGCCATTACACTTCTGAAAAGTGTGGAATACTCTTATCGTTACATAATTCCGATCAAATGTTCCTAGTCGTGATCACTGACATTCACAATACCCGCCATTTTCAACTTAACTGATCCGAGCAACTCCAAGAATGTTGTTAGGTCTGGGTCCAGCAAGGCCTAGTCCCCTTCCGCGACGATGTGACTTTCTTTGAAACTTTCACAAGATGAATTTCAATATAAATTAATACATTTTGAATTTGAACCTCTATCTTTCAATTGAGAATCAAGCGATAAAATGGTGGCTTTTCCTTCTCCTCGGCTGTAGGAAATCTGGAGCACCCTTGTGAAGGTCTTCCCACAAAATCAGTCACAGGGGCATTCTTCAAGATCTGCTCGCTTATCTGGGCGTTATCAGGACCAAATATGAATTCGTCTCTCGTTGTTTTGTCTGTAGGTCACATTATGACTTATTTCATGTTTCCAGAATACGACCAGATCTCTTTAAGGGGAACAAAGAACCCCTTTAAATTCGCCCCACTCCTAACTTGTGGCGTCACAGCTCTGTTGGTAGAACCAGGAGCCCATTACTTGGAGCGTTCAACTGCCCTGTATTTTTGTCACGGCGTTTTCACATACAAGACTATTTTAAGTTTGAATTTACCACGAGTTAGGACTCCTCCTGGACGAGAGCCCAATGACCAATCAAAACTAGCGCCTGATGAATTTCTAATTCACTCGATAATATATCGAAAGGAAAATGGCAGAGAGATGCAAGGATTCTTGCGATAGTTCGAGTGCAGATCTTTGTGAAATTTTTGAAAATACTTCGAAAAGCAGCAGTTCCGAGGAAAGTGCTCGTGAAGATGAACCTGAAACGAGCTCGGCTTCGCGTCCGTCACGTTTTAAGAGAAAGAAAAAGAACAGCCAGCCACGATCGTCCAGCAAAACGACATCGACTACATCAGAGAAACAGCAAACAAAGAAGATGCGAACTAAAAAGAACAACAGTTTGAGTGATTAGTTAAAGTAGATTATAGCTTGGCCGCTAAAGAGATTTCCTCAAAGATCCCTTTTCAAATGTTAACCCTAGCCCTTTCAATTTTTTTCTTGGAATGGCTATGTCATGAAATTAATCCTGTTAGTACATATCAACGATTTTAAAAATGAATTCTAACCAGTACAACATAAAGCAAGTTAACTACTTTTTGCCAGTATCGAGTTAACACCGCATGAGCCAAACCTATCTCATGATCTGAAATTTGCTCGTTTTTCATCAATTCACCGGCTAAAGAACTCTCTCATCGGCTATGTTCGTGATGTATCTACTACCCAAGAAATTTTTCATTGTCACTCTCCACAACTTGAAGCCTAAGGATATTTTGTCAGATTGAGATAATAAAACGACTGATACAATAGCCTGTTCTAGGCACTTATCTTGTATTTGTATTTGTAAAATTCGCCAGGAAGACTTGGTTTTCACCAAGTTAACCTTTCCTCGCTCTCAGGGCATCATATCAAACTCTTTTCCCAGCGCGACGAACATTTGTTTTTCTCGGTTCCAGGTGTACGCGATCACTAACCCTACGTAATGCGCATGCTCTCCAATGCGAATTTTCAAAATGGCGGATAGGTCAAAGAGGGAAATAAAAAAAGCAAAGCGATTTTGCAATAAATACTTAACATACACCCCCGTTAGAAAGGCGAATCCACGATAGAGAGATACAAAACTGTATGATATTGAGATCAGGGAGGTTGACAAAATCAACAAGAGAGGTTGAAAATTCATTACGTTGGCTATAGCACATGCTTCGATGAATGGACACCCTTCAGGGCCGATAGAGGATCTGGATATTTTCCGTTTGTTCACAGCGAAAAGCTGTTCATTCCCTCGGAAAACTCTCTAGAGGATAGAAAAGAATCGTCCCATGGCCAACTTGCTCGTGAAATAAAAAAAAAAAAAAAAAAAAAAAAAAAAAAAAAGAAAAGAAAAAAGAAAAAAAAGAAAAAAAAGCTTTGGTCTGGACGGCGAGAGGACCTTGATATAAACATAGACCTTAATGTTGACCAAGATATTTTCATGGAAGGTCTTGGGAGTGTTTTGCCCGGCGTTCTTCAAAGAGGGAAGATGGTTAACCAATTGGAGTCAAATAGGGTGCTTGATTCATATCTGGGGCTGAAGTGGGATGAAAGAATTTTAAATGTAGCTGAAGATTTTGCCTATGTAATTCCAGGAACTATTAAGTATTGGCTGAGACTAAGAAGTCCAATCATTGAATACAAGCTCATCGTTGTAGGTGTTCTTAACCCTTTCATAACCGGCTGCCTCCAGGAACTAAATCCTGTTTTTCTTCAGAAACAGTTGTTTGAGGGCATCAACCCCTTTGTGATTTGTGGATCTGAAGAAATCTTTAGAAGCTCTACTATTGTATTTTTCCAAGCCTTGCTGTGTGTCATATGCTATGTTCTGATAAAGTGACAGGAACTCTGGAACATGATAACATAGTGCATGCATGTAGGGAGTGACATCTTTTGCTTGGTAAACTTTGAGAAAGTGCTCAAACCATGATTTGATATTTCTTTGCAGTTCAAGAATACCCTCTTCAGATGTAAAATCTAGCTTCAAATCACCAATTATGTCCATAAATTTAGCCCAGATCACTTGTATGTCTTTGTTTTGACTGTAATGAGGGACAAGCATAGGTTGGAATGTTTATATTCTGAAAGAGTTTCAACTTTTCTGGTTCAGTAAGATCTCTATATTCCAGCTTTTTGCTCTCTTTGTTGATTCTAAAATTAAAAGTGATTCCCATACTTTTGATAAATTCTTCATAACATGCCATGTGTTAATATTTATCCCTTGGGAATCTATCAGAGGTTTTTTTTTTCTCAATAGCATCACTTCTTCTCAGCTCTCTTATGAACAAGTCAATCAAAACATCTGAAATCCTTAGAAAAAAAATGTAATGTATCTATGATGACATGGTCCATAGGTATAAAATCAAATAATGGTTGTGCCTTACAGTTTAATTTCTTTCCAGTGGAAAACCTTGCTATTTCAGTGACAGTTCTAGCACCAAATTTGGGGTCATTAATTGACCATGTTTTGCTTGTGTCCCACTGTTGCTCCCTGGGACACTTGCACCCCACACAAGGATAATCCTCATTTGCCCTGCCTAAACCACATACCAGTGCTAAAAATTTCAAATCTCCACCTAAAAAGTATTCAATTTTATAGGTGCAATTATTTGCACTTATCTCCTTTAAGTTTGACATTTCCATTCGAAGGTCTGCTAGGCTGTCTCTCAGATTATCATATGTCTCTGTAGTTTTAATAACAGCAAGTTTATAATTTCCCTTCACACCCATTGCCAGATCATTTTCATGGAGAATAGTAAAAGTGAAGTTGACAACTGTAAGCCCCTTCCCAATATTTGTGCCATCACCACTAAGCTTGATCTTAATAGTTTCTCCATCATTGATTTCTCCATTCTTCTGAAACCTAACAATGTGCTCTTGCAAGCTTTCTGCAAATCCTAACTGAACACCTTCAGCATCTCCTGGTGTTGGTTTCAAGTTCCATTCACTGTTTGGCTCATTAATTTGCTTCTTGATGGAATATGTATTGAGGAGATAATTAGCCTTAGTGGCAATTTCATGCCAGGCCTCATTTGAAATAATTGAATTTATCTTTGAGGCAGAGCCACATATTTATGTTATCAATGTCATCATTATTAAGGGCCTTTGGGTCAGACTCTGTAAATGGCAGCTCTCCCTCTCCAACAAGATTGAAAGTTTCACATTGAATAGTCTCAGTGTTGAGGACTTCAATTTTAGTTGCAACAAAATTGTACAGCCCAAGAAAGGAGAGTGTAGTTTAGCACTCCTCCTTCTGTTGGTTTTTAATTCTCTTTTGATGGTTCTTAGAATAGTCATTAAACTTCTCTCAGCTGGGCCTCTACCTTTTTCCCATTTGTTATCACTTTTTTGGCCAACTGAATAAATTTTTTATCGTAGAAGGCCCCTTTCTTCTCAGCTTTCTCGATAGCTTTTCGGGCTTTTTTATCCACTCGCAATCGCTTTGCCTTCTCCTGTACCAACGATTCTTCTAATTTTATTTTTTCTCCCCTCAACTGGCTGTTCTCATCTTTAAGCTGATGTACATTAACCTCGTTGTAATACACCTTAAATCGATACCGAGGGCCCGTTTCCAAATTGCTAAGTGCATTTAATTGTCACGATTACTAGCTTTCTTGACAGCTTTCTGAAAACAGACTATTTTCTTCTGAAGACTTCTGATATATGGCTATTGATTATTATACCTCGTATACCTGATTGCTCAAACACTTTGTTTACAATTATTGAAAGGACCGACTCATGGTTTCCTCTGAAAACTTCTTTGCTTTGAAATAGTATAGATTAGTAAGCTGAAACGAAAAATTAATTAGGGAAGTTTACGAAAAATCCAGCGAACAAGCTTAAAAAAGGCATTTATTTAGACTTCATACTGCGATGAACTTCGCAAATCTTAATTGTTTATCTCGTAAGTAAACAATGGCAGATTAATTCCCGAAGTGCTTTCTGAGTTTCCCGATCCCTCTCCTACTGCTTTCACGCTCACAAAACAGGAAAAAATCAAAAGGAGGAAGATACAGCTGTTTTGAAACGCCATTTGACGAGGGTAAATCTGCTTTTTGTTCGACACTTTACATATAAAAACAAAGGAAATTTGTTCCTCTTTTTGATTCTGGCGGTACATTTTTAAATTGCGCTCGCGTAAAAAGGATATCGCCCGAGACGCTTCGCTCGGTTGTGTTTTGAACAAAAACGCCTTGTTAATTTCACGTAACCGCTCAGAGAAAAGGTTAAAATGACGAGGGAAAAACTTTACCTTCAAGTTAGAAAATTAACGAAATAGGAAGCCAAAATATTATAGTTTAATATTTCAGAGGTACATTGAGTGCTTTTTCCGTAGAGAATCCGCACGATGGTAAAATGTTCGAAAATTACACTCGATTTGAGTGGGGCGTTGAAGTGGGCGTGGTCACTATATTCATTTTAAGACTATTTGTACCCCATGAGTTTGATATGTAAAGCCAAAAAACCGTACATTTTCTTTTCACGTTTAGTAAAATATATCAAGTATACCAAAAGCACCATTCGTCTTTTCTCAAAAGTCCATTTTCACTCTGTCAAAGCTCTTCCAAACTCGAGACAAGCGCTATCTTGAATGGCGCAATCTTTTCTGTGACCTCCAAAGTTTCGTTTTACACTCGCGTGAGATACGTATAAGTCTTCTCCACAGCCGTTGATTACCGGTCTCGTCAAGATTGTTTTACTTACAATTTGCTTCAATATATTCGATTTTTTTCATAATGGTAAAGCGTTGTGTCGTCTAGTTTTGTACTGATTCAAACAAAACTGGGCATACAATGCAAAGATTTCCAAATGAAGCAAATTTGAAACAACAAAGGGTTAATTTGTTCAAGTGAAAGGAGCCCATTTCATCGAGCCGTTCGAACATTTTGTTGTTTGTAGCAGTCATTTTTCTCCCGATTGCGATGAGAAAAGCTACATGGTTGAGATGGGCCTCAGAATGAAAAAACAACTTCTTCCTAGTGCTATACCGATGATTCAGGCCCTACTGGAAGCAAATGATTCTGAAGTAAAAAAGAGACCCATACAGTCGGCAGACGGCGAGGATTCGGAAGTGGCCGATCGCGACCACACTCACAAACAACCGAGGAGAAGTTAAGCTCTTCAAAAGTTAGAGGTCATGAGAGTAAGTAAAAAATTGATTTACATAGAAACCTTACGAATATTAAATAACTAAAGCTTTATCGATTCTCTCAAAGCACCTTTTTTCTCATCTATTGAAAGATTGTGGGGAAGCCAGTTCGAGAGCCAGCGCTGAGCCCATAGAAGACACCTGACCTGTCTGAACCTTTGCATGAATTCGAAACACATGTCAAAGAAAGAGAATTCGTTGCTGTGGGTTTGTAATGTGATGTGCAAGTTTGTTGGTTCGATATAAAGAATTTTATACATGATCCTATAACTGACCCTTATTTCTATATGGGAATCCACGCCAACCCCTCTTGCTGCTTCCTTTGAGAAACCCTGCAAAGAAACAACAATTGAAGAATTTGTGTCACGGTTTTCACAGCAGTGGAAATACATTCAAAGATCAGAAGGACAATTTTTTTTAATTTTGAATATAGCTCAAAAGATCCCGATTCCAGATTGCAAAACTATCTTTTAGTATTTTCAATGGAAGCAAACACAAACAGGGTTCGATAATTATGCAGGCCACACAAAGAAATGTAGAAGTTACAACTTGCTTAACGATGACAATGCTTCGGAGATAAAGGAAAGCAATACATAAATATCTCCTAACAAACAGGCACAACCGCTAGTGCTGTATGACATATATCTGCATTAACATGTACTCTCAAAGGCTAGGGGTTTAAATCCATTGAAAGACGTTGCAAAATGCGCTGCAAAAGTGTTTCGGATTTTGTTTACCGCACAAGATTTTTTTCTTTTTTTTTTTAAATTTCTTTCTTTTTTTTTGGCATTTTACAAAACATTATTCTACTTAGAATACACTACAGGACTCGGTTACAATACGTCACTTACAATAATTCACTGAGAACACACTACTAACAAAGTATAGTTTACAAAAAACTTGATTACAGAAGATGACTTACTCTCGATTACTTACACTACCTACACAATACTCTACATTTACATTATTTTACCACATATTACACTAATTTTAATATGTTACGGTAAGTTACTTACAGTATCTTACAAATAGTATATAGCGAAATTGTATGCTTTACAATAAAATTTGACTTCTTCTGCTACTCTGCATTGTTTGGATGACACCCATCCCACAAACCGATATGTGGCAAAAGCTTATCCCATTTCTGAAAATGGTCAACTAATTTATTCCGCTTTGCTGCTATCTTCATTTCTACCTGGTATATCTCCCCGATCTTGGCCTTATAAACTCGTATGAAGGGATTCTTAGAATTCAATTTACCTTTGTGTATTTAAAATTTAGTTGTCAGTATTAGATATTTTAGAATAATCAAGTCCTCTTCCGCATTGAAAACTCCAAAAAATATATCCATTATTGTAAATGTGTGAAAGTTAAATTGACATTCACCAAGCCAAGAACAGAAAGCTTCCCAGAAGGCCTTTGTAACATTCAGTAGAAAAATATACAAAAAGTACATAAAGGCGAATCCGACAATCCCCACCTAAACAATCTTTCGTTTGTAAATACTATATTATTTAATACTTTATATAAGAATTCTCTAATTTAGTTCCAATTGTGACGGTAAAAGGCAAGGAGTATATTTTCTTTTAGTCAAACGCAAACTGTTTCATTGAACTTTTTTTGCGCATTTGGAGGGATATGCTTTTTGCTTTTAAACGCGTTATAAAGCGATTTGGAAGTGATTTTTGCCAACATTACATTAGAATTTTCTAACTTCAAATAAATTATGTCATCTGTATGAGAAAGGAGATGTTGAGCGCTTTATATAATAATACGCCTCCAGTCACGAAGAATGGCGTCCACGACGCTCATTAACCTAAAATGTTGTATCGGAGATAAATTTGCATGCACCCTTTAAGAAGATTCCAGTGTCAGAAATGAGATCACCAATCGTAACAATTCCTTTAGAAAGCAAGTGTTTTTCGAAAAATGGGATCTTTTGGACAGTATTATTTTTATTTTTCCATATAACCTGGTGACCTACATCTTCATACGAAAGTATCGAAGGTTGCCTTAACATGGATCAAGCGTCCAGGCACTTCTTATGAAAGGCCGAAAGTTAGATAGGTAACTGTCTGGTATCAAAATTAAACTTAAGAACAAATTCTCCCCCTATCTGAGAAAGGAAGTAATTCAATGTTATTTTCCAAGAGCTGTTATTATCTTTATTTGTAAATCTTTTTAATACCATCACCCTCTGTGCGAGGATCATCGACTGAATATCCAACATCTTATCATCCTCGATAAGGATATATCCTTATCATCTCATCATCCTCGATATCATTGATAAGAGCGGCGCGTTTAATTTTATCATTGCCTTTCCAAATAAAACGGTACATCACACTGTTGATCTCTTTGATTAAATCATCTGTGACTGTAATCAACGACGTTTTACCCAAGACTTTAGGGATAATAAACGATGTAACAGGCTGTATCCTTCTCAGAAGCGTGAGCCCTCTCCATTTCCACATATTTATTGTATTTTTACTGTGGAATTCGTGTTGCGCAATATTTTAGCGCCACCGCTTCTTTACGTCACGACTTCTCGCTACTGTTTTCACTGGAACTGGAATTTCAGTAAAAAATGCCGATTTTTTCCCCTGAAATAAGTCAAATTGGACAAAACGAACTGCAAGTTCGTTTTCCATGCCACTTTTTACATTGAATAAGGAAAACATGTATTACACGCCCTTTAACAATTCACGACATCTTCAATGACTCAACCCAGAAAAGGAGAAAATAAAAAGCTGTTCCAAAATCGTAACGAGTGTGACACAAAGGGAAGAGGAACTAAACGAGGGGAACTCAAATTGATTGAAAAGATTTGAGTTCCCCTCGAGAATCGAATCTCCTTCCTTCCAATTGTGTGTGTTGGGTGTTATTAACAGTGATCAACCACAGCAATATCCAACCGCAAAATCACAATGCTTGAGCTTCGAATCCGTGCATGTTCGGGGTTACAAGATGTTGCCGGGCTGAGTTCCATCATCAGGCCCGGTTGTTCAAAAGTAGGATAACGCTATCCACTGGATAAATCGCCATTCACTGAATAGCGCAGTACGTTTTCTCAACAGTTATCCGCTGGATAGTGATTTATCTGTTGAACAGCGTTATCCACTTTTTGAACAACTGGGCCCAGATCTATAACAAAGGACATTCTGTTACTCAGTTTTTATTTTCACGTGATAACAAAGTAAGTCAAAGGGATTACAATAACTTTCCGAGTCAATCACTGTACCTAACTCGCTACAAAAACTGTCTCTACAGAGAGGGCTTGATGAAAGAAAAATCCAACTCAAGCAAATTTAAAAGACACAAGGATCTTGACATGATATCAAAACTCTTTTCTAAAAACCGAAAACTAAACACTATATTAAAGATAGTAAATATGAAAGCGATCTTCGCAGTAATGAAGTTAATATGAAGTATATAGACAAATATGATTGTCATAGATTCACAGTTATATAAAAACATACGGCAAACTTTAATGTTCAATTTGCATAGAAACTACCTCGATGCTGCAATTGACCAAGAACGGAAATCTCAACTTAAAATTGAATTAAATATTACGATGCAACTGAAACATTCGTAAGATTCATATTGAAAAACATCACCAGCACGACCTACTAGCGAAATAAACTGCTTCCCAATCTACAAATAAAGTAGATGGTCCTTTGAAATAAATTCTTTGTGAATAAATCTTCCAAGTTTAACTTTCTACTCATTCCAGAAACAAATGAACAATTCGCCAAAATTTTTTAACTGAGGAAGAGCCCATTACTTCTTGAGTCTCTTAAATACTTTAACTATTTCAATCGTGATGAGTAAAACGGAAATTAGTTTTTTAAAATTCAATTGTAAGCAAAATCTACCATAGTTCACCGACTATTCTGCAACACACTGTTGTCTTTCATACTATGCACTAAGAAATCAAATTTGAGTTTTTGATACAAAAGTTTAAAACTGAGGTTTCGCGTTTAAGACTTAATTTAAAAACTAGTGTTTTTTTGCTGACAGACAATATCGTTACATGCCGAGGTGATCAGGACGTTTAAAAACTGAGACATTATGCCTTTAAAACCAAGCTGTATCACTGAAAATACTGAGGAAGTTCCTGTCGCCGGAGAAGTTGGTTTCAAATCGTTGCCAAAAACCATCAGCAAGGATCTCGTCTTTTCTACAAACAGGATAAAAGGGGTCAGAAAGGTAAAAAGAAACTGTTCATTTTAACATAGGTTTGAATACGTTCTTACAGTAAGAAACCTGTTTAACACACCGATATTTGTAGAAGTATCAGAAATCGAAGGAGTGATTAACTTAATAATTAACATTTTCAATACAAGGTATGCGCGGCAACAGCACCGACGAGCGAATATTCCTTTCACTCATTTTGATATACATTGTACACAAACTGAGACTGATATTACGTCATTATGTTCATCATTACGCATCCTTGGAAAAGTTTTGGTTGAAGTCTTCTATTAAACCAGGATATCATGTTGCTGCTCATTGCCTATCATACGTTGCGATTGCGTAACTAAAAGCAAATCATCTTTGAAGACATAAGAGCCGTTGCACTTAGCCGCTCGCGAATTTGATCATTTTCAGAGCACTAACATTTTAAAGGCAGAAACTTATACCTTGCGGGCTTAATTAAAAATATATCATCAATTAATCTTTGCCTACCTCCATCTGACAATATCCCAAACTCCTATCTTCAATTTCATTCCAGTGTGACGTCATCCCCAATGAGTACAAAGGGTGCCCAGTACTTCACATCCCTGAACTCTTCAGACTCTTTCATGCTCTTCATAGCTTGGTTAAGAGCTTCACTTGCAAGCTTGCCAGTAACCAGTTCTTCGTAGAAATGTTTCATAAACACGAGAGTAGCCTTGTCATCAATCGCCCACAGCGACGCGAGAACAGAGCGAGCGCCGGCACCTAAAAACGCTCTTGCAATTCCAACAACTCCCTCAGCCTTAATCTCTCCACGACCACTGTGACAACAACTTAACACAACCAGCCTTGCTCGTATCCGAATATCCAGCACATCTTTCATTGTTAGAATAAAATCCTCCTCAACAAAGGGCCGTGATGAGCAAGTACTTCGTGGCGCTAAAGCAATTTCGCCTGTTTCCATTCGGCCATGTGCAGCAAAGTGCACCAAGGCAACAGAGGGAAGTCGCCTCAACACTTCATCTTTTTTTGCTTCTTCACCAATAAGAGGATCAGCGCCAAGGATTCTCCCGATTATCTCAACTTCTTCTCTCGCACATGGCAGTGGAGCGATCTCCATCCCCTTGAAAAGAACCCCCTTCAAACATGGATCACCCACGAGTAAAGCACTTTTCTTATTGTGGAAGTCGTCTGGGTAATCGTTTATCAACTTCAAAGTAGTCAGGGATGGAATCGTTCGAATTCGGAAAGAGTCACACAAATAATTTGACTCGGAATCCATCAATGCGGCAAAAGGGACTGACCACAGTGAACTCTCGGGAACAAAGATAATTTCATCGCCATTGATGAGATCACCGATCGGCTCAATGATAACGTCATACAACATCTTCAAGGCAGCTCTCGGTGAGCATTCAGGAGAGAAATAACCATGACCTGACCTTTTCTTCGCTAATTCTTCAGCGTAGGGCTCATCAAGAGAGCGATCTTCACATTCAATAACACCTCTTTTAAACGCTCTTGATGCTGTGTTCATTAAGCTTCCAATAAAGGTATTGACATCTTCGAACGAGCCATAATTACTTATCTCAGTACTTCTCAATTGAATATCTTGAAAGCTGTTAATAAACCAGTAGAATATCTTGCGCGATGTAACATCTACAGCCATGAAAACTGTATTTGAAACAGCACAGCTTGCAAGGACCTCAAGATCAGAATTCCCTGGAGTGTGAGGCCCAGGCTGTATTCCTCCCGACCCATACCTAACACAAATCAGATCATTAAGAGCCTGCGCACGTCCTTGTTCAGCAGATAAAAGCGCATCCAAAATTTGATCTAGTTTTAAATGAAGACACCACAAACAAGTGTATGCGTTTCTTTGCATGTCGCGGTAGCTAATCTTCCAATCATCTTTGAACCGCAAATTGGCTCGGATAACGTCAAAAATTACGACGCAAGAACGATACAGGTTTACAGCTCTTTCCAGATCTCCTAACTTCCAATAAGCATTGCCGAGATTGTGGTAACTCGCTCCCTCTCCAGCCTTGTCTCCCACTTCTTTGGCAATTTTTAGATGACGTTCATGATACTGGATGGCTCTTTCGAAATCTCCTAGGCTATGATAAACATTGCCGAGATTGCAGTAACTCTTTCCCTCTCCAGCCTTGTCTCCCACTTCTTTGGCAATTTTTAGATGACGTTCATGATACTGGATGGCTCTTTCGAAATCTCCTAGGCTATCATAAGCATTGCCGAGATTGCCGTAACTCGCTCCCTCTCCAGCCTTGTCTCCCACTTCTTTGGCAATTTTTAGATGACGTTCATGATACTGGATGGCTCTTTCGAAATCTCCTAGGCTATCATAAGCAATGCCGAGATTGCAGTAACTCTTTCCCTCTCCAGCCTTGTCTCCCACTTCTTTGGCAATTTTTAGATGACGTTCATGATACTGGATGGCTCTTTCGAAATCTCCTAGGCTACGATAAGCAATGCCGAGATTGCAGTAACTCTTTCCCTCTCCAGCCTTGTTTCCCACTTCTTTGGCAATTTTTAGATGACGTTCATGATACTGGATGGCTCTTTCGAAATCTCCTAGGCTATCATAAGCAATGCCGAGATTGCAGTAACTCTTTCCCTCTCCAGCCTTGTCTCCCACTTCTTTGGCAATTTTTAGATGACGTTCATGATACTGGATGGCTCTTTCGAAATCTCCTAGGCTACGATAAGCATTGCCGAGATTGCAGTAACTCTTTCCCTCTCCAGCCTTGTCTCCCACTTCTTTGGCAATTTTTAGATGACGT